ATAAAAATTAGGCATCTACCCTATTGGAATGATAAAACTGTCAATTTTTACAATTTACCAAGTGATAAACCTACCTTACCACTTTGGTATACATTGAGAAAGTAGGCTTTCCTTGAATTAGTAGACTCTGAATATACTGTTGTTTGTTTCAAGTTTAAATTAGAAACACCGACACAATAATTCAAAGCTTTCTTGTCTGCTTTGTGCAAGTTTTAGAAATACTTAAGCGTACGAAATATGTGTATTTTAAGTTATTAAATGGGTATTGTAATAAGAAATGTAGTATTTTATAACAGGTAAAGGTGTTTGTTTATTCTTATGGGTTACAAAAGTCATAGACGAATTCTGGTAAGTCCTTTGACTAGTAATATTATTTTTGTTACTAGCTGTTGCCCGCGACTTCCGCATAGAATGTGAATTTAAGAACATAACATTTTTGTTTCTTATTTCCATAATAAAAGTAGCCTATGGTAGCATAGGTTGGGCTCGCTGCCATCGCAGCGGTAAGTCCCCTCTTTGAGGAGTGGCTTGAGAGACGCTACGGCGTCCTCACCTACCGCCTGACGCAGGTCCTCACCGGACATGGAAGTTTCGGGAGGTACCTGTGTCTGATGGGGCGGGAGGAAACGCCCGGGTGTCATCACTGCGAGGACCGCCCTGAGGACACGGTGGAACACACGGTGGGAGAATGCCCTTCGTGGGCTGAGCACCGCCGTGTCCTCAGGGAAGTGATCGGCGATGGCGACCTCTCGCGTCCGGGCCTAGTGCAGGCCATGATGCGGAGCGAGGGGGATTGGGATGCCGTCTCCTCCTTTTGCGAAGCAGTCATGCTAGCTAAGGAGGAGGCGGGACGCGTCGTCGCCGTCGCGCGTCGGGGATCGCGGGACGATCTCCGGCCACCGTAAGCGCGGGCCTGCGGACGGCGAGCATGGGTGGCTCCCCGTCCGACCAGAAACAGACCCGAGCGTACGGCGCGTCGCGTTCCGCGCGCGCCTCAAAGAGCCATCAGACCACCACAGATGGGGCCCAATAGGGCCGATGCCGATTCGGAGTCGCGGAGAACCTAACGGGTAACCGGGGCTCCGGCTCGACGTGCAGGAGAAGGAACGGGGTGGTTTTTAGTCAGTAAGAGTCTGACACTCCCTCCCGCCTCACCCAGGCGGGGGCAGTCATTCGATGATTTTCACCCCTTAAAAAAAAAAAAAAAAATGGTAGCATAGGTTTTATTTGCAATGCCAATAACAGTTGCTATATTGGTTCAGCTATTCCAGAGATTAGCCAGTACAAATAGACAGACAGAGAAAAATTAAAAAAAAAAATTTAGTATGCGTATCATTTGCGATATCGTGTATCAAAATGCGGTTATTTTAATATTACAAACAGACACTACAATTTTATTTAACCGTATAAATATTTTATGTCATATTTAAACTAAACTGTATAGTGCCATGATATATTTATAAGTGTATAATTAAATCATAGCATTAGGCTTTATTGTAACGACAAAGACATCAAGTAAAAAAATATTGAAAGCAAATTGTACTTTTTACAAAGCTTCTAGACACTAGATGAATCCTTTGCCTTTTCGAAAATCAATGACCCAGTAACAACAGTAATAGTAGGTACTTCCAGTAATGTAAACTGCAATGTTTACAAAATATTATTAGCATGGTATATTCATAAGTGTATAATAAAACCATAGCATTAGGACGATTTGATTGCACGGTTGGCGCGGTTGGTATGTTTGTAAACGCACCCAAGACAATGCTAGTGTGGTTATTAAAACTATATTGACAAAGACACCAAGTAAAAAAAAGCAGAAGTAAATACTTTTTAGGAATACTGCTAACCAGCAGATGAAAGCGTCCTCTTTCGAACATCGATAACCCAAACCCTAGAAAGAGGGCACCCAAGACACATAACTATACAGAAAATAATACTCAGAATACCACCTCACAGTAGCTTGAACAAATTATGAAAATGAAACAGTACTGCAATGAAAACAAAGACGTCAGCCTAAGGCCATGTCGCTAGCCTATAGAAACTCTAATAGACTGGAAAAGTCATTCAGTTCCAACTCATTATAGCTCAACTGTCTGTCTGTCCGTAATAGTTGTTTTAATAGGTCTGTTTATAACAAGAACGTTAGGGGTTAAGGATATAAGTAGTTTTGTGTACAATAATGTGACTATTGTGTGTATTAAAATAATTAAATAGATTTCTTTGACATAGTTCGCCGAACCTGTCGATTGATGAGGGTTATAAATAATTACGGGCTCCGTGTCTAGTTTGAAACTAGTTGACTAACGTGTCGAGTCTTCACAATGTTCAGGAACCACAAAAAATTTTAATTAATTCACCGTTGATGAGTGATTCAATTTTCTGTCTTATAATAATTATGTATAATAATGATCCTTATTAATATTATAAATCGGAAAGTGAGTTTGTTTGTTTGTTTGTTCCGCTTTCACGCCATAACTACTAAACCGATTGCTTTGAATTTTTGCAGATGTATAGTTAGAAGTCGGGATTAACTCGTCGAGTACCGTCATTATAGACACAATTATAGAACAATAGGTTGCGGTCACTGGTGACCGCTTGGTGTTTGACAGTTTAAATAATAGGGTACTTTTTATCCCCGAAAAATTTTATATTCCAGAGGGAAAACAAAAGTATTGGTATAGATGGCGCTGTGTGTATTGGTACTTTGGCTTTTTATCATTTTGTGACGCGAGCGAAGGTGCGGGTAAAAGCTAGTAGGTTATAATTTGTAAAAAGATATGATGGGGTTGCCATCAAAGATGAAAACCCCTCAATAAATAACAGTTTAAATAATAATGTACTCAAATTACTATTGAAATGTTTACAATTTTTCTATGTGTGCAATAAAGTATATATAAATAAATAAATAAATAAATAATGTGTCGAGTAGTGACGTATCTTTGCTATTTCACTTATTGAAGTTACGCAAGACAAAAAGTAAAAAAGTAATTTAACATCCCTTATGCAATGGAAGTTAGAAATAAAAAGCAAGAAATTCAATTGGAAAAGGTGCAGATGTGTAAACCACAAGGGAATAAATTATATTAGACAACTTTTCCCATTCAATTCAATATTTACCTTGGGATTTTTCCTTTCCAAACCCATTATAAAGATCCGTATACTGTTTCAAAGAAGTATAGAAACACAGTATTATAAACATAAAATATCAGAATTTCTAGACGGCTACATTTGCCTTTACGCTTCGTTCCAATATTTAATATCAACCTTTTTTCTTTCACTAAGCTTCTCATCCGCCATCTTGAATTCGATTCAATGATTTAATTTACGACAAATTATTGGCATTGAGTTTTTTATTTAAATGTTAAATCTTTACAGTTTATTATATTGACAGATAACATAAAGATAGTCTTCTTATAAAACAGTCGCAATCTTATGTCGCACGTTTATGAAAAGTAATCGTTCTGGATTTATTTATTTTGATCTCTATTTTTGTAGACATGAGCTATATTTTTGGATGGAGTTATCCATTCGATAGTAATGACTATTTTCATCAAATTACTTGTATGACAATGTGATCTGTATAATGATAATTTTTATTTGTTTGGACTTTGTAAAATTAACGGTTCAATCATATTTTTGAATCATATAGCTTTTAGGTAATCACAGAACCGTTATTCAAAAAAAAATTATACCTTCGTGGGATTTTCTTTTTTTTTTATAAGTTTTGTAGAACAGAACTATTCCTTGAAAAGTTGTTTGAGAACTAAGTACAACATGTACTAACACACGTACACTCGCTCAATAGTGTAAAAGTCTTTAAGCTAGACCTCGGGCTTAGAACTCTCATTAATTGACTTTTACAATTTCAAGCAAACTTTATTCTGGATCCTTTTTGTAAAAAGGGTCCATATCTATTTTATACAATTGTAAAGTAAAATATTTTATTTATCATCATCGGCGTCATCTGTCAGTAGACTGCACTGTTGCGAAGTTGTATGTTATGAGTCCCATGTTATAGGGGGTGAGCCTATTGCCATACCGGGCACAATTTCAAACTCCGTGCTAATACTGAGGCTTCCTAAATAACCCAGTAATACTTTGCCCGACTCGAAACTCGAACCCAAGTGTCGGGGGAAGGGGTCTCCCCTTGCCATTCAATGAGTGGTTTGAAGATGATCATTTTCAGTGAGTGGTTCGAAGATGATCGAGTAGTTCTCTGATCAGAAAAATATTGAATCATGAAAGGAAGAGTGTTGAAATTTATTAATGTCTCTAGAAGCAAAATATCGAGATCCCGTTGTTATTAATAGACTGCAGGTCACAAAATAAGAAAATTTTAAAATAGAACAGGCTATGTGTAGGAATGGAACATAAGAAATAGGAAACAAAGCGACTACTATCACAAAATTCCGTTCAAAAGAAAGTTCCAGAACGACTTGTTTGCAATTAAACTTGAACCAATAGGGTATCACAGATGCAAATGTCTGAAGTTGATGTCACAGCTGCCTTGCTATTTGTTAGGATCCACTTTTCGATTGAGAGAAGATCGGTTAAACTTTGGCTTAGTGATTAGTTTTTGGTTTGTCCTATTTAGAATAGACTCTATAGGTTGAAGGTAGAAAACATTAATTGGTATGTTTTCGGCTTACGTAACTGGTTGACGAGGAACTGGATGTTTTAAGCCATGCTAGAGGTTCATATTCTTGAGCAGCATTCCGCGATTTACGACTCGGCGACTATCGCGCTGCTAGTAGCGCTCCAGCTGGTGCCAGAACACGTTTAAAAAAATAAGAAAGGAGGATTTGATTTGAAGATATCTGGGTGACGTAATATTTACCTACATTCAGAGATTTAAAGTATACTTTTGTAGTACATCTCCATCACAAAATGAGCTTAAAGAAGGCCACTGCAATACGTAGACCTACACAAAAAACTTCCACATTCGTTGATTAGAAGCGACCATGTACATGACTTTGACCTTGACCTTATTGTTGCAGGCGGACATAGCACATTCGGCGAAAGGCTACGAGTCAGAGGATGAGAACGCGGGGAGAAAGTGGCAGAGGGCCAGCGACGAACGGCCAGCCAGTAAGACTACCATGTACTCTAAGCAGGTAAGCAGCTTTTGCTTTTTTTTTATTTCATGGGCCGACGTTTGACCACCATCTCGCCCGGTGGTAAGCGACAATGCGGTCTACGATGGTGTCTACGGTCTTTTTTATTCTTTCTTCTTTTAAGTCTTTCCAAAACGAAGTTAGAGCTAGTACCAATAATAAATTATTTGGCTGAACAACCTGAATACATGAACAGTACCTCCTACCATAGTCTACATTACTACTGTTTTAGAAAGACCGTTTTGTTACTAAATAGGTTCTACTTTTATCCTGGTCACCCAAGTATAGGTATAGTCGTACTTAGGTACGACTTGAAATAAAGATTTTTTATTATTAAAAATAGGATACTATCTGACGGCCCCATTGGCCGAGTGGTCGCAAGTGTGACTGTCGGGCAAAGGGTCTTGGGTTCGATTCCCGGGTAGGGCAAAGTAATACTGGGTTTTTAAAAGAATCTCAGTAGTAACACGGAGTCTGGAAATATGCCCAGTATATGGTAATAGGTTCACCCCCTATTACATGAGACGCATAACATAAATAGTGAAAAGTGGGTGCTACATTGTACGGTGGCATTAAGTGTCTTAACGTCCTTTACCTACCCCTTCAGGGATAAAAGGCGTGGTATTATGAATGTATGTACTATAATATTCTATATATTTTGTAGCTAATCTACATTAAAGAAATGTCAAAAAGAGACTCCACAATTGCAAGTTTATGTATGTCATTTCCAACTGAGTCCAGCTGACATTAATCAGACTAATAGATTGATTGATTGTTATCACAGATTGATAACACGCTAATTAGGTATATATAATAGTAATTAGGCAGAGATTTACGTAAGATTACTCAGCATTGTAAGAGACGCCTGAATGAATAGAATAGCAATTTCTATAATAGCGTTGTGTTGCCCAGCCTATACAAAGGGATCAAGTCGAGACTACGTACCATTACTGAGAATTTCTCAATTAAAACACCCAATTATACTTTGCCTAACACAAAAAACGAGTTCGAAGCAAAAACAGTGTTCAGTTGATGTTATATTGGTGGATTTATGATTATAACTTGGATTTGTTTCCTACATATAATATAACATTACATTCTTTTAACCCCGAAGGGGTAGGAAGAGGTGCACAGAGAGGTAACACCCACTTTTCACTATTTATATTATGAGTCCCATGTAATAGGGGGTGAGCCTATTGCCATATACCGGGCACATTACCAGACTCCGTGCTACTAACTATTAATTAATTTGTAATGTTACTGATAATTTTTATATTGGTTTACTTGACTTTATTTTAATAACATTCGTAACAACATACACACCAAGGTATGACAGATAGTTTCGTGATATCGGTTGATCTTATACAGTACGAATATAGTGAGGGGGTCATCACTTTTATTAAACTAGTGATGTTTATACATGTAACAGTTCATAAATCAGGATCATCGAAATATTTATTCGGATGGACGTGAAGTGTACCTACTTAGTACATTGAAGAGTATCGATTCCAATACTCCGTTAGTTGAGCTTTCGAATAGAGTTCAATTTCGTATAGCGGCAAATATTTGCGCAGCCTACAGATATTAAAGACTGGGAATATCAATGGAAACTCCGATTGAAACGTATTAACAAAAAACTGAACTGCTGATTTATGAAAATGGCTGAAAATGCTAAACAATTCTAGACTGTTATAAGACGTAGCATTGTTAGATATGTTTTAGCAACGGAAATAAGTGGTGCTGTTGTTGTGATAAAGTGGGATAAACAATATTTTAATGAGTTAGAATAAAATAATATTTTAATGAGTTTAAATTCGTATATTATAAACTGTTACTAAAAAGAATTCTTCTTAGTCTTAGATGTGTATCTTGATACCCATAGGAATATACCTACTGATTAGAAATTCTCATTTAGTAGGTAGTAGGTTAGTAGTAGTAGATATATCTTTGGATTTATTGCGACGGACATTATCTGCTAGTTATATTTAAATAATGATGAAAATTCTATATCTCACCTGTATGTAATTCATGCTTTAATCTTTATTGAAAACTAACTGTTGCCCGCGACTTCGTCCGATTTTAGAACGGAACTTGGTTTTGTTTTAATTTTCCAAAATATAAGTAGCTTATGTACCTTAGTACATCAGCTACCTACCAATAAAAGTCTTGAAAAATCGGTTCAGTCATTCCAGAGTCAGCCAGTACAGACAGACAGGCAAAAATAAAAAAATATTTTTTTTTTTGGTATGTGTATCGTATGCATGTAGTGAAAAGCGGTTATTTTAATATTACAAACAGACATTCCAATTTTATTTATCTGTATAGTTGTTTAGATACACACAAACAACGAAACACCAAATAAAGTTAATTATCTACAATTCATACTTACATCAAAGTGAGTCCAAATAAAAGTTGAAAGGCATAAATACAATAATAAAAACAGGCAAAATCTCACAACCACCTCAGATTTCCGAGAAAACAAGAAAAAATCTTATTAACGTCGCTAAGTTTTACTCCCACTATCCGAAATTAATTATGTGAGTAGGCTTTCTTGATCCTACGCATTTTGTTTTTCGATGAGGACGTTTTCTACGTAATTCTAAGGTGGGCGTATTTACTCTTCACGAAATTCAGTCAAGAAGAATACAGTACCAATATTTGTATAAGAGGAAAATTGAAAATTAATCTTTCAATAAACACCAAGCTTTTGGAAACTAAACAGTAGCTATTTGGTTTTCATTGATTTTTTGTAGACTTACTACGAGAAATTTCATTTAGGCCTGAAGGTAATGAGCCTCTAGCATGGCTTGAAACTATTCGAGTTCATCGTCAAACAGATACGTAAAAAATGCGGAAAACATAGTTAACCCGTGACAGTAACAATATGTTAAATAATTTAATTGTTTCGTCAGGTGAAGCTTATTTACGGACATTGTGTGTGTGTTTAGGCGCTTTTGCCATACCTATTATTGGAAGCAAGTATAACAGTTTACCCACTTAGTTTCCGTAGTTTCAAATTTCCGTAGTGCTTGGCGACTGGGCTTTACCCAGTTGTTCAGTCTCTTTTTGTGCCTTTAGGCTTAATTCATTCTGTCTCCTGCAGTAATTCATCGAGGGAAGTGGAAACTATCTCCTCTTATAATATTTTCTGATTCACTTCGTTGCGGGAACCAAGACATTTATTCATGACCCTGGGATGCGCCGGACTTTAGTGTTCCGGTGTTTTCATGGTTGTATCTACTGTAGATCCTGGCTTACAGGAGTTGCAGAATTTTTGAGAGTTTGTGGCGAGCTTACCCTAAAAAAAGAGGGGCAAGCCATAATCTCCACTCTTGGCTCTGAAGATCGAAGTTTAAAAGGTTGAGGTTCATAAGGTGGCGCTGCTGCCTTCTGTCGGCTCGTACGCTACCCACGGGAAGAGTAGGGGTGGTAATAAATGTATTCAATGCTACGATTACCATATGCTAAATTAGATGAAAAGCTGTTCTTTACACCGGTTTCCATGCACCCAAAATTAACATTCAATTTTGCATCTTCCACAAAAGAAAATAGAAGTCAAACTGCTTTATCTGTAACACTAAAGAAGCATTAAAACTTCCAACTTCACCTACTTAAGCAACTTCTATAAAGATACCTATTTGCTTAAAAATTTAGCTTTCGTGCAGATAAGATCTATTTTTGCTTAGCTCTGCCTAAATTAAAACATTGAGCACTTTTTCGTTATTTTCTTCGCAAAGTGCATTTGCCTAGAAAACTTATTCTGTTTAAACTGAATGTTACCGAGACGTTAGTTCAAGTCTATTATTTTCTTTGTAAGTTGCTTGAGCACTTAAGTACCTACTCTGAAGTCTGGAGTGCAGTTTATAGTATCTTTACTTTCAATACGTATAAATGAATGTAGTGTGCGACTCATAATAGATTCATAATGAGAACTACTGTTATGTGTTCCAATTATTCATTACTAATATGCCTTCTAAAACCACACGTCATGGAAAAATTATTGCAAAAATCGCATTATGTTCAGTACCTTTCCATAATTTTTCTATATCTTCAATGACTTAAACTGTAATTCTAATAAGCATTGTGCATCCCTACTGATCTGATATTATGATATACCAAAACATTTTAAATAATGATCTTTTTCCATATTTCACAGGAGTTCCGAGAACAGTACTGCATCAACAACAAACAACTGGATCTGCTGGAACTGGAGAAGTCCAAGAAGGACAGATTCCTCGGATGTCTCTCTCAGTACCATATCGAGAGTCCATGTTCCAGAGCCAATAGGTAAGTCCATACTTTTCTTTTTCTAAGTTGGTATGATGTCCAAAATGCCTAAGATTTTATAGGTCACTTAATTTCTAAGTCGCGCTTAAGTATATTCCTGTCGCTGCAAATTCTTTGTAAAAAGACAGACATGGCACGATATTTAAGTACTACTCAAAATTTTGTAGCCTTTCAGTATTCGGGCGTTAGAATCGTATGTTTATTCATAGTTAAAAATTTATTAAAACTATCGAAATAACGTATTCCTCAATTCAATTCGACCAACTAAATAACTTCAAGGACACTGAAGCGACATAAAATAAATAATTCATAAACTAAACTACAAATCTGTTTAAGCGTCAAAATATCCAACGGCTACCGGCCAGTATTGAATATTCCCGTATCCCGACGTGTCCGTTTTAAGGTCAACTTCCGTAGGGGATCAAATTCTCCCCGGCTTATAGGGGATTAACCTGATGACATTATCTAAATTGAACATTAATGCGTCGGGTTCGATCATAATAGCGGTCTTACATCAATGAGTTCGTCCGGTTTAGCGAAGAATTCCAAATTAAGCGTCTACTAATGTCTCTAAGAGAGGTTGTTTTGTTCGCTCTGTTGTACAGAATGTTTTAAAAAGGAGGATCTCATGTAAATGTAAATTAAATGTGAGATCACGGCCTTGGTGGTGAATTTTCTTTAGGTTTTTTTGTTACTGATGCCCGAATCACTACAAATTCTTTACAAATTGACAGATATTTTTTTTAAGGGGGAAAAACTATCATTTTTGTATTCGTATGACTTCTTCCTCCTGGGCGAGGCGGGAGGGAGTGTCAAACCCTTACTGAACAAAAACCGCCCCGTTTCTTTTCCTGCACTTCAAGCCGGAGCTCCGGTAACCCGTTAAGTTCTCCGCGGCTCCGTTTCGGCATCAGCCCTATTGGGCCCCATCTGTGGTGGTCTGATGGCTCATTGACGCGCGCGCGGAATGCGACACGCCGTACGCTCGGGTCTGGTTCTGGTCAGGCGGCGAGCCACCCATGCTCGCCATCCGCAGGCCCGCGCTTAAGGTGGCCGAAGATCGTAAAATGACAGAGATGCACGACATTTAAGTCTAACTTCAAATTGAGTAGCCTTTCAGTATTCGACCGTAGGTCGGCACGATGTTTAACCGGTGTTGTGTGTTAACTGTTGTATTCAAAAAGAAACAACATTTTAACCGCTTGAATATCGGTATATGATACACAATAGAAACATTTATGTCACATTGTGCCTCGCGTAGATCTGCGTTCGATACGATATGCGATACCACGGGTTTATAAAATTATCTAATGTTGAATTTATTTAAAAACAAAACTTGTTAGTGACCTTATCCATGTCATTACACGGTCTGAATGTCTCAAATTTCAGATCGTCGAGAAGGCTCCAGAATTTATTACTGAGCAAGAAAAAGAATTAAAACCTTCACACACAATCCTTTTCACATTGCCCTAATGTACATATAAAAATCACTACCTCTTCAAAATACAAAAGTAAAAGAATAAAAACCCTTCACAATAAAAGAAAGAATCTCAAAGGTCCCGTAAAATGTATTATTCCGAAATATTTTCCATTCCATTCCAAAGAATTCTCATAGGCGGAAATATGTCACTACCCTGAACACTACTAAAATATTCCGGTGTAGGGAAAATATGCACAGAATAGATACAGTCGTTAACAATATGTTTACGGAAAATAGACAGGTTCTTTATGTAGTAGAAATAATAGGGAGCGAGGATTCGACGTACAGTTGCCATACGGATTCGTACATGAATGAATGTTTCCATGCAAGAATGCTTACAATGTCAGAATAAAGAATTGTTCAGTTCCGTTCCTATAATGTTTATGACCCGAAATATAATGAGGGAAAATATTTTGAAGTATAATTGTTTAATGCTTATTTGTTTATTAACACGTTTAGATGTTGTTGTAAGTGAAGATGGCGGCCAACCGAAAACTAAAAAAAATATAGGATCTAATGCCTTGTTCGCACTAGGCGAGTATTTTAGGTAAGTAGTAAGTATTTAGTAATTTTCTCTCGTTTCGATTTTGGGACAGAAGCAAGAGGAATATACTAAACACTCGCTGCTCGACTAACATACTAGCATAGAGCGAACAAGGCATTAGATTGTGTAAGGAATAATTTTGCCTTCTGGATTAATTTGCCGAAGAGTATGGATAGTATAATTTTGACCAATCTCTGTTGGTAAGAGTGACGGTGTGTTCATTGTGAACTTTAAAAGTGATCTGTATTTGAATTGGGACAGAAATATAGGCCTGGTCAATTATCAAATATTGATATCGGCAAAAGGTATCGACAAACGTCACTGACGCAACCTGCCACTTGACACATGAAGCACTTTAGTGTACTCAACCAAATAGTCAGCCATTTATCGGATAAGACCTCATCCTACATCCAAATGTTATAAATAAACACGGCCATTTCACGGCTTCCTCTATCCAATTGAATTTGTAGGGATAAAAATTCCACTAAATTCTCCCCAACGCGTGGAAACATGTAACTGAATTTATTTATGGCGATGTTATTTTAACTGGCAAAGTGTAAATGGTGCCCTTTCATCAATTCAATATTTGTGTGAACGCGATATGGAGTGGAAATGAATGGTGTACGTTTGTTTTAAATGGTCAAAAACTGGAATGTTTTTTGAACTATTTGGATAGCATTTTTTATGTGATAATGCTAAAAGAAGAGGTGGTAGTGAATAAAAAGGTGATATTTATTGACGCTACTCTAAATTCAGTTTGTAGAAAGCAGACCATTTTTAACTGTTTCTAAACTTCTCGATACTTTAGAAAAGCCTTCTGTCTAGGTTGTCATAGTAGAATATTTTATACTGACAGTATGGGTGGACCCATACTGTCATTATAAAATTTTCTTCAAAACAAAGTGGCATCAATAAAGCGAATAATAATATATTTTTATTATAACTTTCGTGAGACATAATAAATATAGTCGCCGAGTCGCGGGTCGCGAAATGCTGCTCATGAATTAGAGTCTCTAGCATGGCTTGAAACTAGTCGAGTTCCTCGTCAAATACGTGAGTAAGCCGAAAACATATAAATTTATTCTGATAGTAATATTATCTATCTTAGGAGGGTGTGAATGATAACCACGAAATTTTACCGAAGCTAGAACATACTCAATTCTGAACAAACCTTCCGAAAAGAAACAGCATACAATACAAAACAATGTCCCATCTATTTCAAAGGTTGCTAGATCGAATATTAAGTCGTTTTATTTAATTTAATACGTACGAAGGAACAGTGGTACCATCCCAAAACAATATTCTTTGCTTAACGTTTGCATATAAAATCTATGTTTCATCTTGCTTCGTCGAGTCCCACCGGAGTTGTTTAGCCGGAAACCTGCCATGCATAAGATATGAGCAAACTTGACCCGTTTTGTTCAAAAGTTAATACAAAAATACTTCGACTAAAGTTGGGATTAATCAAAATTATTTTCCCCTTGTACCCATAAATAATTATGTTTATCTTTGGAGACATTATACCTTTACCTTTAATTAAATTCTACGTAATTACTTACTTTAGAATTTCTAGTTTTATTGTTACTCGGACACTTTGCCGTGGTTTTATAATCATGCCTGTTTTTATTGTCGTATGATCTAATAGTAGACGTCATTAGTATCTTAGTATCGCAGTTCGACTCTCCAGGGTGTGATTGTAGAGCTTTTTGCTAAAATGTGTGGTATAATATGATAGCATGGATATGATGCATGGATATGATGGATATGATGCATAAGTATTGCATTTATTAACATCATTTACTATGATGTATGAACTTATTTTAGAGAACAGAGAGTATAGTTCTAAGATCGGAAAAGAAGGATCCGCCGACCAGGTGAGGTGATCGTACCTGGCGGGCTTTCTGCCCAACAGTTGTTCGTTGGGATTTTCTATCAGTGTTAATTCGCATGTAAACTTTACTTGTGCGGTGTAGGTTTTTTATGACGTCATCCGTTGATGTGCTTCCATCTATGGTCCATGTGTGCGAACTATCATTTTGACGTAGGCCATGTGTATAATGTGGCGACATAATTGACTAGCTAAATGTTACAAAATTGAACAACTATTTATCCATCAATTAGAGTCATTAACAGAAAATAAAGATGGCGTCTTACCGAGCACTAGAGACCCAAGTATCGGCATCTTAAGTTGATTTTAGACGATAAATGACCTCCTTTTAGTGGAGGCAAAGGTAACAAATTGAGCATTTTATTATTCTGCACCCTTGTAATCGTATTGGGCCCAAGTGGAGGTCACCGGGCACTTTTATATTTTCCCTGGCTTTACATTTCCTTGGCGCATCTATTTTGTTAAGCTGCTTTTTGTAATCGTTAAGATAGTTTTGTATACAGTACGGTTTGGTCTCAATGTACTGAGGAAAATTTTGTTTAATCTAGTGGTTACCTCTTGTAACGTCCATGAAATGAGTGTCATATTCGAGTTGAGCACAATATTTTTTTGATTAAGGAAATTGCAACCAAAAATACCAATTATAAGGTCTGCGATTGTGTAATCTTTCAAAGTGTCTTCCTGATCTCATTGAAATACTTACACTATTTTGACTTTATGCAGTATGCATGCAAATAATTAAGACATAATATGGTTGACTTTTTTTTTAGAAAAAGAAACGTGGTAGTAAAAACAGAACTTAAATACAGAATTCCGGAGTACCGAACCAAAAAATAAATTAGACTTTGTAGAAACTTCGAGCAATGTTCGTTCATAATAAAGTCCATTTGTTGGTACCCTCATTTCGCAAAGAAAATAATGAAGCTCTCTAGAAACAACAAGAAACAATATCCTTTCTTATTTCGGTAGGTTAGTTGCCTTTCTGGGCAATTAAGCAACTAAAATCCTTCCCAAATCAAGGTTTATATTTATTTTATTCAGGCGTTTGTTGTACTTGTATTTGTGCGAACAGTTTTGTATATTGGACTAGTTGCCGCTCGCAGTTTCGTTGCTAAGAAAATAGATGTCACTAAACGATGTTGTCTAAATCATTTGTAGTGTATTTTTAACTTAATGTCGTTCAAATAAGTAGTGTCATCTAAGATAGTCCAGAAAAATTCAATTAACAAAAATAACATGAATTGTGTTAAGAGTTGGGTTGAGGTATTTTGCAGCAAAAAGTAACCTTCATAGCTTTACAGCCTGTCAACTTGTCTCCTTGGAAAAATACACTTTGTTTTGACTTTAAATAAGGACAGACAGACATTTGGATTTATAAAGACAATAAATATATTATTTACTACGGCAATATACATTTTGACGTAGCCAAAAGAAGGAATCCGATTATCTCATTTACGGTTAGTCATAACAAATCAATCAACTTTTTGATGGATACATTTCTTTGGAAGACATCCGAAGCAGAAATGTCTTTGTTGTGATTTATTATTAGTTCTTACTTACAATTTCAATTAATCATAGTGAAGGACAATACCTAAATTAGAAGAATACAATACATATTATGTCATACTATCTTATTATTTAGATCATACCATAACTTGATCAAAAAGGCTTCCAAATAGAAATATTCTTCACTTTGAACCCTAAACCTTCACTGTTATGGTTAGGCTAAGTTATACTTTCTTGCATACTCCATACTGTATTATTTATTTTCATAAAGTGACGTCATCGTAATTTTCCTTTGTTACAGAGCATCATTTCTATCCGTGTGCGTCCGGCGGCGTGTGCCCTCAGATGAGAATCTCAACACCGATTATGCACCAATACAGAGGTATCCCAGGTATGTAAGAATAACCATAAACCCTCAGACCTATTTACTACAACAGCGCCACCCAACGAGTGTTTTAAAGATGTTCCTGTTCAAAGGTTCGGCCAACCAACCCCGGCACCGCCCGAACTTTGCGCCTACGATGCCGATCTGGAGTGCTCATACTTCCGCAGACGTCCACGGTCTGTGTGCAGCCAACCTGACCCCAAACGCTACACCTGGATGCCTGAAGATGAAGACTTCACCCGGATGGAGTGGCCACAGTCAGTACTGTTATTCCTAACGATCCAAAATTTTCTAACTCAAGCTTTCTTCTCTAAAGATGTTAAAGGTTTTATTATAAAAGCATTAATGACTTCCCTCTTAACAGTAATTGATGCTTTAGAGGAAATACCAGATCATTCATTAAGGAGTGAAATTGCGAACATAATTTAATAAATAGAACAATCTTAATGGGTTCCGAACGAGCAAGAAAATATCTGAACAAGCAGGTCCTTATGTATCGATCCTTCTATTTTTGGTCCCAAACAAAATGTCTTCTACCTTGAGAGCAAAAGCTCTGAAATTTACATAAACGTGGAGGAAAGAATGATTCATTGTCTTCGCGACTCCTTGCATAATTGATTTCGAGGCTTCAATCATTAAAAATCCAGAAAACCGAACGAGATCAGTCAGGAGAAATATTAATGAATTCCGTATTCGAAATATAAATCTCGAAAGCTATTTGCCGACCAGTAAAAAAATAAACGCATTATTGCATTAAATTTATATTATCTGGTTGAAATAAGAAGAATAATTAAGAAAAATAATTAGAAATGAGTTTTTCCCTTTTAATTTGATTTCTTTATCATTTATGACTTTTTATCCAGCAGGCAGAGAAATAAATGATCAATGGAGCTAAAATCAAAATAATCGAGCGACACAAGGCTCTATCGGAGCCTTGGTGTAAAATAAGCAATAAAATTAAATATTATGTAGATGTATGTATAGTATTTGTAACATGAATTATTGGTATATTTTACTATAATGCCTAAGACAAATAAATAAATAAATAAAAAGAAAAAATAAATAGAAAAATCTAGAATGTTTTAGTACTTAATAATTTCGTAACGTTAAGCAACTTCTTCCATATATTTCGGCAATAAATCTTAGAAAAAAGGGTGTTGAGAGATTCTGGGCTAAAGTCCCGTTTTCCGTAAAAAAGGCAACTCATATTTAATTCAAACGTTAAAGGATAAAAGTAACGAATGATTAATGTTCTAGTATCCTTATTTGCCAAGCTTTTAGACCGACAAACAAGTGACTTCTTTCCTTTCTTGACATTATTATTTTATTTAATTAGGGAATTGAAACATCATCAAACATCTGTTGCAGAATTGTTTACTGTTTGTGTTTTGAGATCCTCTCTCTCTCTCTTTATAATTCTTTTTAATTGTTTCTTTATAATTGTTTCTTTGACGCAAAAAAGACATGTAGCCATTAAACATTATTATAACAAAAGTATCAGAAAGTGTTTATTTTCTTCATGCTAGATAAGAAACTCTTCTTATAATGACACTAAAAGGTCATGCAGACATTTGAAATGATTACTTGAATAACATATTAACTGACTTTCACTTTGACACTTGACTGCATGGTTGGTGCGGTGGCTGGACAACCGGCTGCGGCGAAACGTGTAGCGGGTTCGATTCCCGCACGGAGCAACTCTTTGTGTAATCTACAAATTGTTGTTTCTGGTCTGGGTGTGATGTGTATGTAAATTTGTATGTTTGTAAACGACAACATTAAAAAAAATAACTACCAAAGTTCCCTAGTAGTCGCAAGTACGACTGCTAGGCGATTCGGGCTGGGGCGAAGCGGTCTCGGGTTCGATTTCCGGATCGAGCAAAGTATTACTGGGTTTTAAAAAATATTTCGGTAGTAGCGTGAAGTATAGAATTGTGACTGGTATATTGGCAATAGACTCACCCCCTATTACATGGGACTCATGACATAAATAGATAATCCGGGGATAAATGTGATGTTATTTTAAACTTAAAATACTTATAGTTATTCAAATTTGTTATATTCTAGTGAACTGTGCACTGCAAAATCTTACTACCTTACCTACAAGTTCTACGCAATATTCTAATGTAATTCTAGGCAGGCACTAAGAAAATGGTTTCGTGCTTAATTTTTTCATTCCACTTCTTTAGTATTTTCTCGCAATTTACATAAGTAGGAGCTCTTAGGACTTCGTTCTTGAAGCTTGAACTCTTGTATCAATTGACTTGATAATTCTGACCTCGCTATTTTATATAACGTGTGTGGTAAAAGTGCTCTTTATTTCAGAAACACGTTTCAGTTATTTATTTTAGGCAAGAAAGAAGATATTCAATATTCTAGACATTGCAAAATATAGAGAGAACTTTTTACTATTATATACTCAGAAATTACTTTGACTTTCATAATACTGAAATCAAAAGTTCATCGTATATAGAACAAACATAGAATTACTAATAGTGATAAATGAAAATGATAAAACTGATCAAATATTTTACCGAATACGTAAAACGTTGCATATCTCCATGATGCCACTGTTTTAGATTTAGATTTAGGTGGTACCTTAATGTGAAAATGGCATCAGCAACACCAAGAAAAAAATCTCTTCGACCTCGCAAACTTAATTTTAAAAAGTGATAATCTATATGGGTACAAGTCCAATAAATTAAATGATTTATATTACAGATCGGTAATAGAAGATAACGCGGGTTGGCCCCAAAATTATAATGTGGACCAAATCGCGTCAGTCAGCCGAGGAGGCTCGTTGCCTCGGCCACCTTCGATAATTCCGTAAGTACTTTCATTTTTACATAACCATATAGATTAGATTTTATTCGGGTTTAAATTGTCGTAATGTATACACCGTTTACATTTAACTTATATCGACATTATTCTTTAGTGAAAATATGATACTTATCTACGTTACGTACCAGACTTCCAAATGATGTCTTGTACAAGTCTTCAAAAAAAGAAGGTAAGGTCAAAAATACCTAACTTACATCAAATTATAGGGTCGGCATAATTGTGTCTTTTCAACTATCAGACGTCTTATGGTAAACCACAAAACGAAATAGAAGACTTTGTTGAGCAAGTTGCAAAGAAAGTAAATGAAATCAACCAAAATATTGATACTAACTTCGGTACTTGTATAAAGCATAAACGCTCGGCTGTATCAAAATCAGTCTATTCAAACTAAATGAGCTACTTTTGCAAGTATTTTATGGCTTCAGTCTTCGAGTACCTTCCTTCAGTTGGTACTCCAGACTTGCCAACTTCAAACTTGGTCTTTAGGTCTGTAACTAAGCTGGAAATTGTTACTGTATTCAACGGTGCAGTGACTGAAATGTCTAACAAGTTTCATCATTCATAATACACACATACTGATTTAGGGAACAGAGAGTATAGTTCCCTAAGATCGGAAAAGGAGGATCCTCCAACCAGGCGAGGTGATTGTGCCTGGCAGGCTTTCTGCCCAAGAGTTGGGACTTCCTATTCGTGTTAATTCGCATGTAAACTTCAAATGTGCGATGTAGGATTTTGAGACGTCATCCGTTAATTTGTTTTTTTATCTATAATCTATGTGCGTGAACTGAACTGTCATACTGTCATTTTACATGTATCGCCACTGACATACATACAAAAACACAAATGTTTCCTCTTAGTAATAATAGTATTGGCTATGTGCGCGACGGTGGCGACGCGTAGCGTTTACAACATTTGCGGAAGCTGTCAAATAATAACAATTTAAACATTATAATTTTCTTTGCAAATATAAATAAAACCAAAGATTAAAATAGTATTGTTGACATTATTTAAGTGCAATTTATTCAATAGTTTTACTGTAAAATTAGTATAATAATAAAAACCGGGTTTGCATCATCCGCATTTGTTTCCAATTTCTGCCGTGTTGTGCGCTGCGGTCTTTATCTGTTCGCCACTACTCGCTTTGCACATAGCCAAAAAGAAAAGTCGTGAGACCCGTGAAACTAAGGCTAGTTTTGTAAAGTATTTTTCATGAATAAAAGATAGAACTAAATTTTCATAGCATTTGTGAAACGGGCCCATAAAGTGTTAGCGAATCAAGATATTTGTTCTTTAAAGAGTAGGTACAAATTAAAACCTTTAGAAAGTTCAATATCGTTGTAAATGTTATTTTCTAACAAAAATACTCCACGAGATAACAACGCAGTGTAGAATTTTCCTTTAGCGACCTTGTTTTTCTTCTATTTATTTTTTTTCATTTACGCTATATTTTCCTTTTGAAAAGAATCCTTAGGAGCTAGACTGACTGGCGTATTGTCGTGTTTTTATTAAAGTCTAAAATAATATAAGACTTTCTCTGTGCCTATATTTTTCCTAGTATCTTTTTTTTTCTTATTACTGCGTTAAAGAGGTTTGAGATGTTTAAGTGATCTTAGTTGCTTGTGACATACTGTTATGTTTGTAATTCGGTCGGGCAAAGTATTACTGGGTATATGCCAATAGGCTCACCAACTATTACATGGGACTCATGACATAAATAGCGAACAGTGGGTGTTACATTGTACAATGGCAAAGTGCCGTAAAGTGTGCACCTCTGCCTACCTCTTCAGGAATAAAAGGCGTGCTGTTACGTTATGTTATTATTTTCCAACAGCAACCAAGCGCTAATCAATAATTTGAAACAAACAACTACTAATTAGAAAGATTCATTGACAGATCTCTTCTGAAAGGGCATTGATTAAAATTGGTGCCTTTCTTTTTTCTGGCGGCAGTCGATAATTTATGGAAAATATTATCTAGAATGACATTACAAACGAAATTGTCTATGGGCTTATATATGGAAATCTCAGTCTGGACTGAGTTATGAGCGTTGAAAGGAGCTGGAATCAAACATTTTACTTCGGTTTTTTATTCAAATTATTCATAGTTTTGTCACAACTTCTAGCTTCAAATTGCGCGCCACTGTACTCCGGGCACAGGACAACCATATCACACCACAATATATTCATATTGCCAGGCACTAATTTTTATTCCCTATTTTCTCTCAGTCGATAACTTGTGGGATGCTTCTAGGAGTTGTGTCATGAAGCTTCATGAGCGTCAGCTGTGGTACCAGTGGTGGGTTGAGTAGTGGTAGCCGTCCAAACATCTAATAAAGTATTTTTTTTGCCATCGACTCCTGGTGGGACACTCATCTACTTAATAGTTAGCATAATCTTTTGAAGAAAGAAAACCGTCGACTTTTAAAGTTATCAGCGCTATTCAATCCGCTACCGACGCCGCAGCTGACAAACATAGCATTTCATGATAGGGCTCAGTAAAGTATTTTGCGGGTTTTTGACTGAGAGGAAATTGATCATGAAAATCTGTCATAGGCCATAAACCATATAACTACATATAAATTGAACACGCTAGCCAATCAAGCGAAATGTTTCTTTTTATTCAGCAGTGGTCAGTTAAGTAATGGTTCACACTGACCTGAGTCAGTGGCACTATAAAAAAAAAACAAAAAAAATTAAGTAAAAAAGGCCACAATAAGCTTTATTATATTCCTTGAAATCGTTTATAAACATTTATTACAAAATATTTCTGACAAGTAAATGAAGAAATATGCGTTGTGTACGGTCACCATCAACAAAATCACAGGGATAATATAGCACTATTTTCACATCTTTGAACTGATTTAACTCGGTTTGGACTGTGTTTTTGATATAAGGCCCAATATATTTTTTTGTTTGTAATGTTATTCTGCATCAGTTTTTCCACATTCGATCAACTGCCGCGAAAAAATGAAAAGGCACCACGCTCCATACAAATTTGGTCATTGTCATTTGGACAGTGTTAACCGACTTGATACCGCTGTAAAACAACTTCAAGAAGTGATTAAGAATTCCGATGAAGTTTGTATTGATCTCGATATAAACAGCGAAACAATTTTCCTCTTCCGAAGTCTAGAACTCAACTGTCTAAGTATCTGACTGTAAAGTTGGAGCCTTCAACACGCCAATCTTATAGGAATAGCTGCCCTCGTTTGTGTTGTTGATATAAATACATGGATACTAATTTCTATACTGTTTTTTTTTTTGAGGGGGAAAAATCATCCAATGACTTCTCCCGCCTTGGGTTAGGAGTGTCAGACTCTTACTGACTAAAAACCACCCTGTTCCTACTCTTGCACTTCGAGCCGGAGCGTAGACAACCCGTTAGACCTTCCCAGAGATATTAGACAAGTTAACATGTTTTGCCTCAAGGAACTAGCAGACACCCACACCACAGATCCCCATTTGTGGTGGTGTGTGGCTCTATAGGGCTGATGGTGATACGAAGAGGTGGAAAACTTAACGGGTTATCAGGGTTCCGACTCGAAATGCAGGAGTAGAAATTGGATGGTTTTCAGTCAGCAAGATTCTGACACGTTTCCCTCTCGCCTCATCTGGGTAGGAGAAGTCGTAGGATGAATATCACAATAACCTATTTTGTTTTTGGTATTCGACAGTTGTTAGTCTAGATTTTTGTGATGGCAATTAGATTTGTCTCTGAGTATGGTTCATACTTCACGGAATTCTATGCACGACTATTAAAATTATTGAGTCACGCCTTACACAATTGTTTAGCATCCATTCAAAATGTTCTTGAATCTAGTTATTAGCTTCCATTTTTTCTTTATAGAACTTCACATTATGCAAAATTTAAACTTTTTTTCACACAATACAACTTCATACTTCTTTTGTAGAAAAAAACTCTATGAAATAGATTCCTATATACTATAAAAGTATAGAATACTTGACTCATAGAGCGTTCTATTTCTTTTTCATTCTCTTTGTGACGTAACAGGAGTATGTCATGCGTTGTGAGGTCGGGAAAAGGTCAAGTGGTCCACGCTAGAGGAAAAGAACACGATTACTTTCACGAGGGGAATAAGAACTTTTAATATAATTATGTTGACAACTTATAACGAGCCACTTTTTATAATAAAAATCATTAACTTTGTTGAAAAAGTTTTGTCAGTTTTGTTTTTTTTTTAATTAGACTTTATTATTCAAGTTTGATAAGAAAAATGTAAGTAGAGGACATTGTGTCAATTCTACCTCTAAATTAACTTGGGATGAGAGCATGTGTTTGGAGCAGTAACGGGATCATAGCGCGATCAACATTTAATTATAATAAAATTATTATAAGTGTGAGTTGTCACGTCGCTCGATAGATGGTGTTAATATCGAGATAGATCGCGCTATGGTTTCGTTACATCAATTTGGTTAGGTTTCTCGTCAATCGTGACGTTGTTGAGTACATCCAGCGCCCCTAGCGGGAAAAAGTACCTGAAGGAAATAAAATAGAAAGTGAAGTAAAAGTCGTGTTTGCGTTGTTTTTCCAAACCCCTCGGAAGCCGACGCTCGGTCTTCTACAGCATGAGAATGGTGTTGCTTAGGGGACGAATGCCGTAAGTTACTAGGCTCATTTCTGGGTGGATTTTAAAAACAAATGGGTGTTTAATAATATTTTGTTTTTTTTTTTTAAAGAGAAGAACGTTGAAGTTTTGTTTCGTTCTTCTCCATTCGAAACTATACACTTTGGAATCAGCACCTAGTTTTCACTGACGGACAGACTGACGGACAATACGATTTGACGTATCAAAAAGGTTTTATTAAAGATTAATTTAAATAAATGTTTTGGCTTTGATTCTGTTTCGCAGTCAATATTTTAATCTCGACTCGATCACCGAAAGTAATGTATTAGTTTTTCATGACTAACCATTAAAAACAAAGTTTGTGGCTTCCTGCAATTGCTCGCAACAGTTTCTGAACCACACAAAACAATTCATGTATTGGAATAACTTATTTTGTGTCCGAACTACGAACAGTTTCAATCAGAATTCCGTGTTTAGTTCTGAACTAAAACTGTATTACAATAAAACTAAACAATTTGAAAATGTTTGTTGCTTGCTTAGAATGTCGTTTCGTTTTAATTCACTTTCAAGATTATAAATTAATAGTTTTTCCTGCGTTTCATTTGCGTACGTCAGTAAGCAATTTCTTATAGTACATCCAAATCTGGCAAATACGCCGTCCGTCAATGTCTTTTGAGCAATCTGTGATAATTATACTGGCAAATTCCTAAATCATGGTGAGGCATATTCAAAGTTAAAACCAATTATTTCAATTAAGTAGACCAGGAATGCAATTTGGAACGACAACAAAAAATAAAAGTGAAGCTATTTACTCATTCCAACTCGTAGATTTATATGGAGAAGATTCAGCAATAAACTCTATAGGTTACTATTTTTCAATCAGGTTCACAATACAATTCTCCACTTAAGTACATAGTTTTGTTGGTTCGATTGTGCGGAAACAATATATCACCAAAATCCAGTCAAAGAAATCAAAAAAGCAAATAACTATTCGAAATAGACATTCACTGGTATACTCATATAGAACTACAGTACCTACCGTCTTTTATTATCCAAAACAAAAAAAGCCAGTGTGGCTTTCATAAAAAAACTATAGTCACAAGGCAAAAATAGCCATACTAATATTGACACGTCATACTAGAAAATAACCTTAAAAAAGATATTGCAAACAATAACAAATAAACCAAACAAATGAATCGCAATACATCACAGTTGTCACATACAACATAATACAATACATCTAGAATGCTTCATTATTTTCCGTGGGCTTTCAGGCTCTGGGCAAACTAATGATACTCGTGTGGGTTAATATGAGGTAATTACCAGAGCCGCGGTAAGCCGAAACAGTGTCATGAACGTAATGGACAAGGATGGGCCCAGGGTTTTATAAATTGCAGGATATGGTCGACAATGGGGCCTAAATTGGGAAATGTGGTGTCGTTGTGGTATTAAAAGCAATTATTATAAAAGCAGATGTTTGTTATATTGGATAACACATTGATATTTCTGGCTGCCCACTGTGAAACAGGAAATCGTACGTTATACAGAAACTTATAAAGAGCGCATCGAACGTCACCCAAACACTCTGAACTCTGACCCAACCACTAATGGTATCATGTCATTGTTTTGTTGATGATGTAATCATAACACTGGACTTGGTATATTTGTTTAAAATTATGAATGGGATCCTTGCCACGAGCTTATTATCGCAGATTCACCTCAGGATCCCTACCAGATCTGTTAGACGCGAGATGTTTTTCTCTTTGCCAATGTGCAACAACAATGTATCGTCTCACAATCCTGTGATAAGGATGTGTCGCAAGTACAACGAGCTACTCTCGAGTGACATGGGCGTGCCTGATATCCACAATACCTCGCTTCACAAATTTAAAAATATTGTTAAGAAATTGTTATTTGGTCGGTCCGATAATGAGGACAATATTGAATAATGTATCTATTGTCTAATTGCATTCTTAATTCTCTTTATTATTACAATTTATCTCTAATTTTGTTCTGGATTATAATTAATTATAAATAATTGTTAATAAATAAATACTAGTCGTTGCATGTCATGTTGTGTGCACATACTTGTGGAAGCATGGTCTGCCATTTACAGTTTTGTAATGTTACTCTGTTGTGTATTGTGCTGTGTTTCTGTTTTGTGTACCTAATAAATAAATAAAAAAAAAAATAAAAAAAAAAAACGGGACATTAAAGCGCAAAATACCTCAAGATTTAATACACTGCCACTTTCCAGTATTTTTTACCGACTTCAATAAAAGTAGGAGGTACTATGTTCGGCTGATTGTTTTTTGTGAACCGATTTCCAAAATTCTTGTTTTGTTTGAAAGGGTATGCTCCCGAGATGGTCTCATTTCCATGAGATCAGCATCTGATGATGGGATCCTAGGGAAACCGAGGGGAACTTTCGAAAATTCTATGGGCGAGTAATGCGTCTATTATGTTTTTCAATTACGATCATATCATAATGATATAACTTAATGACCACAAAATTGTGAATTAGATATCTATTAAGGTTTTAATGAATAATTTTGTATGGAACTTATGGCACCGACTTCTTACCTTTCAGTACTAATAATAGTTATTTTGTGCTTTTTAGTTTTGACTTTTTGTTTGTTTTTTAAACGTTGCTCCACACTAAGATTTTCTCCTGTGTCGTGTGTGCATTTACAAACATACAAGTTCACATACTAAATGCCATCCAGACTCGGAACAACCACCTGTGGATTACACAAAGAGTTGCCAGTGCGGGAATCGAACCCGCGTCACGTTTAGCGGGAGTTGCCTAGCTACCTACTGTTAAACAATGGGGATATGACAAAGGCTACAAGCGCGCCAGCAAACAGCACCAACCAACATACTTCTAAATGTCTCACAAAGAAAACAGATTGTAGTAGAATGTAGATAAACAATTAAAAAATGAATGGATAAGGAAGATATAGTTTTGTTGTGTAGATGACAGTAGAAGTGTGCGAGAGCCATACTTCGACATGAATGGGCCGGCTCGACCGGAGCGATACCACGGCCTCACAGAAAATCGACATGAAAGGACGCTTGCGTTGTGTTTCGTCGTGTGAGTGAGGTTACCGGAAGCCCAATTACCCTAGCCCCCGTCTCTAGTCCCCGTCTCCCGAATCCCCGAATCCTCCACATCCTCAAATTCCCAATTCCTAAAGGCCGGTAACCCACTTGTAATGTCTCTAGTGTTCTGGGTGTCTATGGGCGGCGCCGATTGCTTACCATCAGGTGATCTGTATGCTCGTTTACCGGCTTATGCTATAAAAAAAAGTACAAAGTAACACTAGTTAGTTAGAAGAAGGTTAGGTTAGAATAGAGCAAAAATAGCGCTATCGTTGAACTCTATTGTGATATCCTGCCATGACGTATGTGCTATTTTTCAGCTATTTACTTGAATATTTCATCCTAATGCATCCTGTATAATAAACGCGATAAATAATTGGCGAAGTCATGCAAAAATATGCCTACAAACATTTCAATAAAAAAGCATTCAACCATACATTTTTAATAGGGATGATGATAGAGTATGAAAATTAAAAATCTAATTAGTCCGTAAGTAAAGTAATTAAAAAATATTAGACACGTATTTTTTTATTTTGTCGTATAATAAAACAATACTTAGATAAAACGAATCAAAGTTTAGGACTGGGGACTAAAACGTCATTTCTACGGTATAAAATGACGTCATGCGACATTTCAAATCAATATATCGTCGAAAGTATTCGTTTCTGTAAGAAAATAAAAAATACGTGTCTAATGATTTAAAATAACCTACCAGACGGACATTAAAATAAAAATTAGGCATCTACCCAATTACGTAAGATTCACAATGAGATTACTAGTTAAGCAAATTATTATTATTAAAAGGTGAAAACTAAATAACGTCACCCAATTTTCTGAATGCTGATTCAGTCTCGAGTTCAGGTAAAATTTTCTGCGTAAAAAAGTTTAATTTAATATCTTTTTGTCACATCACCAAAAATGAAGGTCGCGTTTTTCATATTTTTTGATAATGAAGTCTAGTTCCATTTTAGATAATATCTTCAAATTGGTACGCAGAATTGTATTCATTTTAAGTCATATTTGACACTCACCACTTTTTAATAATAAATTGATGTCCTATAAAACACAAACCTATGACCATAAATCATACAATTCCAGACCCCTACTTTATCAAACCAGGTTTGTATCAATCTCTGTAGTATTTTAATAATAAGCCTTACCTTTCTGACTGTGGGAGACATACAACTTGAATCATAGACGAGCATGACCGCCGCGCGCCGCGCGCGTTCCAAGACTGAGCGCGGCCGACTAACCGCACATATTTTATATACGGCTGCATGACGTTGTAGCTGTACTTTGATGACGACGGACGTGCGCCTGCGCCTGCGACCCTCAGAACACTGAGCGGCCGGTCGCCGCGTTAGTTTTTATATAAACGCAAGAACGTTTCTGATTGGCCGAGCGCATTCTTCGACATTTATCTTACCAATAAGATATATGTAGCCTTAAGTTAATTTTGTATAAATATGACCGCCTAAATAAATTCGAAATCATTCTCATTCTGGTAATTCATATAATTGGTGTTTTACTAAGTACCCGAAAGAACCCATATTGGTGACCCCGACCTCTGCGATGGAAGAATTTGGTGACGCTATGGCCGCATCCGAAAAATATGAGCAGGAAATATCTGCAATTGCTCTGCAAGCGAAGATACCACATTTCTGGCGTGCACAACCAAGGCTTTGGTTCGCTCAATTTGAAGCAGTTATAGCACCTCACAAGACCAGCGACGAACAAAAATACAACTTGGTGATTCCAGTACTAGAAAGAAAAGACATAGAACAAATCAGCGATATCATCTGTAAACCACCAGAGATAGGAAAATACAACGCTTTGAAGAAACGTTTGCTGTCGGTATATGAGGAATCCGAATCTCGACAGTTCCAGAAGCTCCTGAGTGGATTGGAGCTAGGTGATCAGAAACCAACACAACTGCTGCGGGTGATGCGAGAACTGGCCGGAGAGAAAGTACCCGATAATGCACTGAAAATATTATGGATGGGACATCTACCGTCACAAGTTCGAGCCGTCTTATCTGTTAACACAGAAGCAAGTCTCGATACACAAGCAATGATGGCAGATAAGATGATGGAGCACACGGATCAGACAATATCAGAAGTCAGTCAGGTCTCAAGCATACCACCTACAAGTCCCAGTAGTTGTCAAGATCTACAATTCCAAGTCTTAACCAAACAGATTGAAAAGCTTACCCTAGAAATCGCATCGTTAAGGAAGGAAAATGCAAGTCATCGTCGATCGTCTCATTCATTCCGAAAGAACAACTACGGTTCAAGATCACGATCCCATTCAAGATCCAGGACAGGCAAAAAACCAGGCGATCCAGACTGGGAGTGCTATTATCATCATCGATTTGGAAACAGGGCAAAGAAGTGTGAACCGCCATGCGCTAGGAAACCGTCGGAAAACTAACGACAACATCGACTGTGGCGGACGTCGGTGTAGCGAATAGAAACAACCGCCTATGTATAACAGATTTACAATCAAGAGAACGTTTTCTAGTCGACACTGGCGCGGACATATCGGTGCTAGCCGTAAGAGACAAGCGAACACCGATAGAAACGTCTTTTAAATTATTCGCTGCAAATAATACCCCCATTAAAACATACGGAGAAAAAACATTACAACTCAACCTTGGCTTGCGACGTAATTACAAGTGGACATTTATTATGGCAGATGTCAAGATGTCAATCCTCGGAGCTGACTTTCTACGACACCATAGACTGCTAGTAGACCTTCATCGCAAGAAACTGGTTGACAGCTTAACCGAACTTTCAGTAAATACGACGGCGATACGCACAAATCAAGATACAACGCTTTATGTAGTTGAACCTACCCACCGTTATCATGCGCTATTGCAAGAATTTACCGACGTGTTGAAGCCTATGACATCTACAAAAGAAATTAAACATAATGTGAAGCACTACATTGAGACCACTGGACCCCCACTATTCGCAAGACCTCGCCCATTAGCACCAAACAAGTACAAAGCAGCTAAAACCGAATTTGAAGCAATGATGTCAATGGGTATATGTCAACCATCAAAAAGTCCATGGGCCAGTCCGATGCATGTCGTGACGAAGAAAGATGGTAATCTACGCATATGTGGTGATTATCGACGCTTAAATGCAGTAACGCTCCCCGATAGGTACCCAATTCCGAGGGTACAAGATTTTACATATCACATGGAGGGTATGACGATATTTTCGAAGATCGATTTGAAAAAGGCATTTTTCTGGATACCAGTTGCTGAAAATGACATAGAAAAAACAGCAGTCACAACACCATTCGGTCTATTCGAGTTTCGTCGCATGCCATTCGGATTACGTAACGCACCACAGACTTTTCAACGGTTCATGCACGAAGTCCTGAGAGGCCTAGACTACTGTTGTTACTGTTTCATCGACGATCTGCTTGTCTACTCAGAAAATCCAGAACATCATGAAGAACATCTACGAATTATCTTGAAACGATTGTCTGACTATGGCATTGGAATTAATATAGATAAATGCCAATTTGGACAGCAGAAGCTAAATTTCCTGGGATATGAAGTCACACAAGAAGGTATTACACCGACCACAGAACGCGTCCAAACTATTTTAAACTACCCGAAGCCAGTAACTGTCCAAGATTTGCGACGTTTCCTGGGAATGGTTAACTTTTACCACGATTGTTTACCTAAGCAAGCTGAAATACAAATTGAATTGAACAAGTTACTACATAATAAGAAAAAAAACGACAAGACACTTATAACCTGGAATGAAGCAACAGAGGACGCTTTCAATAAATGCCGTTTAAGCATATCGGAAGCTGCACGACTAACCCATCCAGTCCAAGGTGCCCCATTAGCCATTATGACAGACGCATCAAACATAAGTGTCGGCGCAGTCCTACAACAAAACACGAACAACACCTGGAAGCCGTTATCTTTCTTCTCAAAAAAACTCAGTGATACTCAAGCAAGATACAGCGTATACGACCGAGAGTTACTAGCAATCTATATGGCTGTAAAACATTTTAGAAGATTAATTGAAGGAAACGATGTTGTAGTATACACAGATCACAAACCTCTGTCCTATGCTATGACTAAGGCGGAAAGTACATGTGATACACCTAAACGAGGAAGACAACTACATTTCATAAGCCAATTTTGCAGCAGGATTGAATATATTCACGGAACCAACAACGTAGTCGCAGATGCATTATCAAGAATCACTGCCATCGACTGTCCTGCTATTATCGATTTTGAAAACCTGGCAAAGGAACAAACTCGAGACGAAGACTTGAAGCACCTACTGAAACAAGATAATCTTCATTTTGTAAAGATTACATTACCTACATCGAAACAAGAAATCTACTGCGAGAATAAGACAAAAACACTACGTCCATACTTACCAAAATCATTTCGTGAGACTGCATTCAAAGCACTACACGAAATGAGTCATCCCGGTATTCGCACGACTAGGAAAATGATCACCGACAAATACTTCTGGCCGGGAATGAACAAGGACATTTCAACATGGACGCGATGCTGTATTTCATGTCAACGGGCTAAGATACATAGACACACGAAAACACCGTTAATACAGTTTCCGGAATCAAGAAGATTCGAACACGTTCATGTGGACATCGTTGGACCACTAACTCCATCAGAAGGATATCGATACCTTGTCACAATCATCGATCGATGCTCAAGATGGCCAGAAGCAGTACCAGTCAGTGATATTAGCGCAGAGACCGTCGCCCGAGTAATATACGACAACTGGATAACTCGTTTTGGTTGCCCACTACGCATAACAACGGACCAAGGACGACAGTTCGAGTCAACATTATTTCTTAAGCTCATGAATAAACTTGGTATATCAAGAATACGGACCACTGCTTACCACCCGCAATCAAACGGACTCGTAGAACGATTTCACCGTACCCTCAAGACAGCATTAATCGCCAGAGTAAATAAACAACAATGGGTTCAAGAATTATCAACTGTTTTACTCGGCATACGCACGGTGATTCATAAAGAAACAAACTACAGTCCCGCTACGATGGTATATGGTACCTCATTAAGATTACCTGCCGATATTTTCACACCTACAAAGATAAACAATGAAGACCCGTTATTATTGCAACATCTATCGGAATCAATGGCATCGCTTAATGACACGTGCGCGCGCGCACCGATAAGACACCTGCGCTCGACTCACGTGCCGAGACAGCTGTTTACTTGCACTCATGTATTTATGAGGGTGGATTGCACGAGAAAATCATTAACACCACCGTACGAGGGCCCGTATGAAGTTATAGAACGACACGACAAATTCTTCAAGATACGTTTGCCAAATCGTGAAGCTGTGGTGTCATTGGATCGACTAAAACCTGCCCACATTCTACCACCGGCCACAGAAGACGTGGAAGTAACCCCTTATGTGACCCGTTCCGGTAGAACTGTTAAACCTACAAGAAATGTACGGTTTTCTTGAAGGGGGATACTGTGGGAGACATACAACTTGAATCATAGACGAGCATGACCGCCGCGCGCCGCGCGCGTTCCAAGACTGAGCGCGGCCGACTAACCGCACATATTTTATATACGGCTGCATGACGTTGTAGCTGTACTTTGATGACGACGGACGTGCGCCTGCGCCTGCGACCCTCAGAACACTGAGCGGCCGGTCGCCGCGTTAGTTTTTATATAAACGCAAGAACGTTTCTGATTGGCCGAGCGTATTCTTCGACATTTATTTTACCAATAAGATATATGTAGCCTTAAGTAAATTTTGTATAAATATGACCGCCTAAATAAATTCGAAATCATTCTCATTCTGGTAATTCATATAATTGGTGTTTTACTAAGTACCCGAAAGAACCCATATGACCTTGACAACAATCACAAACGACGCACTTCTTATAATATCCAATTCCACGAAATCTATCTACCAGCAACAACTTCAGTACATACTTAAATAAATATTACTAAAAATATTATTATATTTATATAGAACCTAATATTTTCAGATGCCCCGCCCACACGCCTATACCGCCGCCGCCCCCGCCACCCCCTCTCACCATACCACCCCACAGGTAAAAATAGAATTAGCTCTAGTTCCTACGACATAAATATTATGTCAACTAACGCATGATTAGAAATCCTTCCTTTAGCAAAAACCTTCAGCTCGACAATAAAAATACAATACCTATGTCCTGAATCTTATATCAGGAAAAGTATTGTTGGTTTATTCAAAATAAACGAAAACTGTTAAAATAACTTTTGGAAGACATACTAAATTAATTATTATGTTTTTCGGCTTATTCACACATAATTATTTGACGAGGAACTTGACTAATCTCAAACCATGCCACAGTAAACGTATCACGGGTCGCGGAATGCAGCTCATAAATATGAGCCTCTAGCATGGCTTGAAACTAGTCGAGTTCCTCGTCAAATAATTACGTAAGTCAGTCGGAAAACATAATGATTAAAGTGAAAACTAGATACAGCGTATAAGAATTAAGTTATGAAAACTTGCTATGTCACTTTTGTATGCATTTAGTTGATAATGTGTCATAGAAGTAGTGAGAGTACCATATCAAACAAAAATAATAAAATTAGACCTAGTTCTTATGACATAAATGTTATGTTACCTAACGCATGATTGGAAATACTTCATCGAAATAGATATGACAGCGTGTAGAAAACCTTACCTGTGGACCTGTGGACCTGAGATAGAGGACTATCTCGGTTTTTATTTTTGGTAATTTAAAGTAATTTTGGTATTAACTAAAATTGCGGGTTACTCACGTGAATATACTGAGAAAAGCTCTACTAGTTTCGAACCACAGAGGGGTTCTTCCTCATAAGCAGCGTGCGCGGTCGTGGCGACGTCACGCACCTCAATGATCAATTTTGGTATTGATAATTTTATTTTTGGTTTTTTGTAAATAAATAATTGCCTCGTTGGCCGAGTGGTCGCAAGTGCGACTGCCGGGCAAGGGGTCTCGGGTTCGATTCCCGGGTCGGGCAAAGTATTCCTCGGTTTTTAAAAAAAAATCTCAGCACGGAGTCTGGAATTGTGCCCGGTATATGGCAATAGGCTCACCCCCTATTACATGGGACTCATAACATAAATAGTGAAAAGTGGGTGTTACATTGTACAGTGGCATAATGTGCACCTCTGCCTACCCCTTTGGGGATAAAAGGCGTGATGTTATGTTATGCAAATAAATAAAAGCTATTACATACAGCTTACAAATATTAAGGAGTTGAGGCTTGCTAAGTTACTTCCCATATCGTATAGATATGACTATCTCTCACTATACTACCCCAAAGGGAAATACAGAATTAATTTAAGTTTTAACTACTCAGGTAGGTAACTAACGAATGCTTTCGTTAGTCACGTGACTTAATAGGCCACTCGCTTGATTTTTGTACGCTGTAGCTTTCATCTAAAAACCAAAAATAAAATTATGTCCAGATACTATTTCTTACCGAGGAGGACCTGTGTCCAAATCTACAGGTAAGGTTTTTCACGCGCGGCTGCCACATATATTTCGAGGGAAGTATCTTGTGAGCCATTCACGTAAAAATTTACGTACATAGAAGTGACGTCATGGTAACGTTTCAAAATTAAATGTAAAATTCCAAAGACAGAAAAAACTTTTACAATTTTTTCCATAAACATTTGACTACTAATACTAATGAAAAATTATTATGCTAAAGATCTGAACAGATTATAAACTAACATACCAACGCTATTTGCAAATCTGTTAATCCCAAATCAGTCGTCAACTAATATAATTAGCTACAAATTATGTAACACATCTATTCAACTGAACATATCGCTTTGAGGGAGATTTCTATTGAAATCGGGAATAAATTGAAATCAACAGAGTATATTAATGCATCTGATTGTGTTCAATCAAGTATTCTGTATCAGGTGTGTTGTTAATAGTTGTTATATCTTTATACTATTATATACGTATATATCTATTGGTCTTTACAATAGGGATGATGATTTAAAATGATGATGAAAAAGGTTAGACACGATTTTTTTATTTTGTCGTATAATGAAACAATACTTAGATAAAACGAATCAAAATTTAGGAGTGGGAGGTAGCTAAGTCATTTTAGGGTATAAATTGTACTCAAAAGTGAAGTTATGCGATATTTCAAGTCAATATAGGTATCTTCGAAACTATTTGTTTCCGTAAGAAAATAAAAAATACGTGTCTAATGTTCTTAAATAATCTACCAGATGGACATTAAATTTAAAAAAAATTGTCATCTACCCTATTGTTTATTAATATGATATTTCAATGGCGTAAGCTAGTTTAAGTGATAAATTGATTGTGTTAGTATGCGCATTAGTGCATTGCAAATATAAGAACGTTTTCGGATACTAATTAGTAAATATTTAAATATGGCAATAGACTCACCCCCTATTACATGGGACTTATAACATATAATGAAAAGAAGGTATTACATTGTACTGTAGCATTAAGTGCCGTCATGTGCACCTCTGCCTACAATAACATTACATCACGCCTTAAAAGGCATGTATGTTATGTTATATATCTTTTTTTTTTTTTTTAAACTTTGCCCCACACTAGGATTATCTCCTGTGTCGTGGGTGCGTTTACAAACATACAAGTTCACATACATATGACACCCAGACTCGGAACAACAATTTGTGGATCACACAAAGTGTTGTTCCGTGCGGGTATCGAACCCGCGACACGTTGCACGGCAGCCGGTTGCCCAGCCACCGCACCAACCGTGCAGTCATATGTTATATTACTGATTTTAAATCGTTTATTATTTGATTGGTTTTAAATAGGTTATGATTTTAAGTAGGTTATATGTTATAATAACCTTAAAACAATCCGGTTGAAGTTCAGTCGAGTCAAAATAAGAAAAAAACTTCTAGACACTACAGAACACACGAAAAAGCATTATCAGAAAATGATACTGGTGATCCAAATTCCAAGAGATATAAAAGTCTAAAATAATAAAATTCAGTTCGTGGAACTTATAAAAATATCATACTGAACTTATATATCCGTTGTAGTATTATTTCATAACAATTTTCGATATTACTGCCTCATTGGCCGAGTGGTCACAAGTGCGACTGCCGGGCAAGGGGTCTCGGGTTCGATTCCCGGGTCGGGCAAAGTATTACTAGGTTTTTAAAAAATTCTCAGAAGTAGCACGGAGTCTGGAAATGTGCCCGGTATATGGCAATAGGCTCACCCCCTATTACATGGGACTCATAACAAAAATAGTGAAAAGTGGGTGTTACTTCTGTGTGCACTTCTGCCTTCGGGGATAAAAGGCGTGATGTTATGATGATGAATTTCGATATTACATGTTACTAATTTAAATTTTCCAGAACAAAACACGTGTCCTTCGCTCGGTCTCATACTCTGACTACATTCGACGACTCTGTAATGCCGGCTGCTGTCAGCGGCAATCGGTTCAGAAGAGACTGCGAGAGACTCATCGATGGACGTGTAGTAAAGGTACGTAAAGATAAGCTATTTAAAAATGCGTTAAAGGATACGAGGACACACATATCTTGCGCTTTTCATTGATGATAAAGAGTAGGCTGTGTGGTCGTTGATAGAGACCAACCTTTTACATTCTTCTGCCAATTTCCTAATAGTAATAACGATCATGAGACTTAATTTTCAAGAGTGTATTTAACAGGCGAAGCTTCATACTACTCTATAATGATACACAGAAACTAAATCTCTATGACTTTTTCATTTACAGCCAGAACCAAAGCCTTATTCAACGCTGCCGGTGATGTTTCAACCGTTCCCGCCGTACCCACAGTTCATCACTCAACCTGCGCCGGCGCCGATCCACTACCCTCCCCCTATAACACCACATCCTACTCACCCGCCCCCTCCCGTGCAAAGGCCAACGCAAACAGAACAACCTAAAGTAGTCGTATTAGGTAAGTTAACATATTTTATGTTTTTTACGTTCGTGTATTTAGATTTGACTATCAAGATTTGGCTGTTAAACGTACCTTTACCATATTTGAACGCATATCTCCCTTAAGATAATGTTAAGAATAGAGCAGCGACCGCATGACGATAGAAAAGAACCGTTACTAATCTGTGGGCTTTTATAAGACCACGTACGCTACGGACTCAGAGTCCGTACACAAAACTGCGATGCGACGTCGCATCGCAAAAATGTGCGAGCTCCCTCTACGCATCACAAGAACTTGCGAATTGATCCGCATCGCGCAACAAAATCTTATCTACCAAAAATATTCTTTGTTTCTTTTTCCTGTATCTTCTAAGCAATAACAGAAGTGCACACTTCTTTTTACGATTCATGTCACGACCTAGTTTTCAATTGAAAATACGTTTCGTACGGTTAACAGTCATCGAAGAAATGGTCACCCTGGTAGACGCCTTGTCGCACGAAATCGCATCGTAATTTTTTGACCACACGTCGTATATATTAGAATAGAACTCAAGCAATTTTAATATTCTTTTCATGTTTTAAATCATTGTACCACCCATTTTATTCCAGATTCTATAAAGAAAGGAGTTATGAGGACTCAAGCAACACAAACAGAAGTTTGTTTAGGTAGAAAACCATTGCCACCGAATTACTTATCTTTGAGCCCTCGAACTATAAAAAGGGTAACGTATAATTCTCTACTAAGCTCTTGAAGATCAGCCTGGGATCTGAACTGAATAATAAAATAAATTATTTGAAACAATTTCAGGTTAAAATGGTAGCAGCTGGTGTACAAACAAATGGGTACACGGTTGGGGTAAGAAGGCTAACAAAATCATTCTCTGAAGTGGGGGGAGATCGATTGGCTGGCCGCGACTCTCCAAGTGAAATTGCTACCACAGTCGAGAGGTACATTTATTGAACTATCTGTACTGTTTATTACAATTAAATTATGTAAGCACGGTTGGCTGCCGCGCAACGTGTCATGGGTTCGATTCTCGGACGGAACAACTATTTGTGCGCCACATTTAAAATAATTATTATGTTTAACGACTCACTCGCGTAACTGTTTGGCGAGAAACTCTACTAGACTAGACCATTAGAATTCGTTGACACATATCTATTATATTTTTTTTTATGAACTACGTTTAAAAAACCGACTTAAACATCCTCTTTTTTGAAGTTGGTTAATTCATATACATAAAACCTTCTCCTAAGTATAACAAACGCTTTTGAAACTGAAAACCACATCAAAGTCGGTTCAACTAATCGCGAGATAAAAGCGCTAAAACATACATACATACAGGTCCAACTGAAGTCGGTTAAAAAATCTGTTCATAATTTACAGTTTCATCACAAGCGACCACGAGAAACTACACAGAACTCAATCAGAAGAACCACCAAGATCTCCTCGGTCTCCCACCGCTATGATAATGCCTTCATCTCCTCTTCAACGAGGAGACTCCGACGACGTAACATCTTCGTCAGTCAAATCTGTTGCATCGTCATCACAAATAGACAAATCATCCGAATTAAGCGCCTTGCAGAGGCAGGCTCAAGAATACTTCCAACAGAACTTCCAATTTATACACGAAAGTGATAGAGACGATACAATTGATGACGATATAGAAAACCTTGAAAAAAGTATGGCATTGAATCGTAGAAACCTTGAGTATCTTCAACAAGAGATTGCTAAACAAAGCAAAGGAGACAAATCACTCAGATCTATTCTTTCCAAAAGTACCAGCGATGCTTCCCAAAAGACAATAAACTCTTCGCATCCATTTTCGAAAACTTCCACTTTTCAATCGGAACCTTCTACTGAAACTTCTGCAACCACGACTGATGACAGTGAAAAGAATGAGAAGGAAATAATAATAGACTTTGAACCAAGACCTGATGATGAAGCCATTCCATTTACAACGCTTCGTAGGAAAAATAGAAGAATGTTGCAAAAAACTTTGTCAGAAGGAGAAATACTTCTAGATGTGTAAGTTATGCTTTATTTTGTTTCAATATCGAATAACGTATTAGGTGATTGTAAGAATATTGTACTGACGATTTGTGTTTCTCTTTTTCAGACGAAAAACCGAACTACAAACTAACGGTGATGGTATAAAAGACGCTCCCATAGTAATGTCAACAAGTCAGGAAAATATGACGCGAGAAGACCGCGAAAGGGAAGCAATGTATACACAGTATGTTGGTCAAAATTACAGTCAAACTCCTATAAAAGACGAAGGTATCTTTGGATTTGAACCAGATGGCTCTTTCAGGTAACAAACGCGAGTTATATTTTTTACTATCTTGTACATAATTGAATTTAGTAATTTAAACACATAGAATTTAGGACCATTGCACATTACATCCACCGACTGGCATTTTTTTCTGAGCATAGGTCTTTTAAACAGCATTTTCTTCTATTTTCTTACATTCAAAGTATTGGGGCTTCCAAATTGAACGCTATGCTTCTATCAGCTCTCATTCATGTTTCTTTCCATAGTTCTTCAGATGGGAATGCACCATATGAAGATTTTCATGAGAAATACATTAGTTACAAGCATGAACCATTTAGAAATCGAAGCGTAAGTTTTGAAGAAAAGACAGAAATTATACTTGACAAGGACGAAATTCCTGAGAGCAGGTATGCACGCATCACAAATTAGCTGTACCAACCATTATGGTTTGCAAAATTAGCAGAGCATCTTGAAATGTAGCTTTAGCAGTACATTGTCACATTTGCCAGTTCTACATTAAGAACCAAAGCCAAATATCATTAACTCAAATCAGTCTTGTATCTCAGAGTCAGAGCAAAAGTACGTCATGAATTCGACAGAATTTTGAGAGCAGTTTTACCAACGGCTTTGTTTTAATACCTATTTATTTCTTCCAGTACCGCAAGGTCGAGCCCAGGATCACCAGAACCGGTTACTATTGAGGTAGATGTAGACCAAAAAGTAAAACGAGCTGTTATTTCTAACACTGTCACTACTATTTTAACACCTTTGGATAAAGTGTCACCATGCGCCTCAAACGAATCTTTAACGGTTGACCAAAGCAGGTTTGTAAAATAAAAATTATACCAAACAACATAGTTTAATGCAGAATGACACATATAAAAATTACTATTTTTAGGGACCATTCGGATGGAATGTGGAATGAATCACAAACGACTGTTTTGCAAGTTGATTCGGGAACAGAAAATGGCACTGTAATAAGGTAAATGAAGCTAATTTGCTAGTTTATTCAAAAATATATCTTATGCTTTTAAACAATAACATTATATTTACAGCTCATCTGATCTCAGTTCATTGGCTGCATCGCCAGGAGCATTGGCATTGTTAACACCGACTTCACGACGAAAGCAACTTCTACTTCTTCAACATCAACAACGATCTTCTTTAGATACAGATGCATTGGATGAAGAGTTTGACGCCTCCCAAGTATGAATTCAATTGAAATTAGATTATAATAATATTCGGTTTTGAAACTAATGTTCTTGTTTATTCTTTAACAGAGTCAATCGCCGACTTCACCACGCAATAAACTAGACACATCAAGTTCTAGTTCCCAAGCTCGAGCATCGCTATCTCCACCTGCAGTCGTTCCAAACATTTCACTATCTCTACCTATAACGAAACAACCAACAATATCAAAATCAATTTCTCCAATAGTCCCTTCAAAAGTGAACCACACACCTGCAATTGCCATTACCCATCCAAGCCTAGACTTGGCTGATGTACCATTCAAAAGGACTCCCAGTTTTATAAATAAAAAGCGTGAAAGGGCATTAAGTCCATCTAGGAGAAAGGATTTGCAGAAAAAAGCTCAACAAAAAGAGCCAAATGGCACGATACCACATCAAATAGTTGAGTCTCCATCTGAGGCTCCATTAGCTAAAGCTGCTAGTAGTGAAACTAGCTTGGCGAGAACTGATTCAGGAAAAATTAACACTACTGACGTATCAGAAAGTACAACAACGACTGAAGATTACGTAACAGCAAATTCAGATAGTTCGAAAAAAAGCAATAGTAAAAACCCAAACCAACGTAAGTATTACAACCGTGGAGTTAGAAGTTACTCATTAGTTTCTTATAAATCCATTTTGCTTATAGATCCAGAAAATAACAAAACACAAGAAGGGTCGTCTTTTGAAAGTGCATCAAGTCTTTATTCTTCAACCCGCACTGAAAACATTGCCGAAGATATGGTCCTACCCAGTTTCTCACCGCCTTTAGAAATCAATGATGACTTTATCGTTCCTGATCTTGCATCGCCCCCGTTACCCTTGCCTGATCGGTTACCTAGAGTATCTATGGAAAAAATTGAAGTCAAAGCTGACATCACTCCGACCATTGAACACATCAAGAGAGAAAAGACTGATATTAAAATTAAAGACAATTTACCAAAAGTTTCCAAGGTACGTCAGAGAGTAAAATAGCAAACCAATACTTATTATTAGAATTATGTTCATTTATTGTTGACTATGTACTGTGTTATTTTTTAGACTATGCGTGGCACAATTAGTGGAAAGAGTAGTTCGAGTGGAAGTTATAGTATAGGTGGATCAAATCCGAATGTTACTGAAGATGTTGATGATAAAACACCCACTGAAAAAATTGTTGAATTACCAGAACGAAGTGATAGTAAAGGAAAGGAAGATAAAACGACTGCTACAGTTCCAGAAAAAGACCAACATGTGCCAAAAATGATGGTAATTAGTAGTTTATGTTTCTGTACCTTAATTTTTGTTAATATGCATCCTGCAATAACTTGTTGTATTTTGGCAGGGTTCTTTATCTGATGACGAACGAAGCGTTCACTACTCATCATCAGGCTATTATGAAAGTCCGGTGGACGATGATGACGATGGAGGTTTGACTTATAAGCATTCACAAAGATACAAATCATCAACCAGACCCAAATCTTGGTTAGCAGATGAGAAACGAAGAAAAAAGAAAGGTTTCACCTTAGAGTTTTCTAAATCTTATGATGATTCTGTATCTACATCTCAAGATGATTGGGGCAAAAAGCCTAAAGACCCAGATAGTATTAGTCAAAAGTCAGAACGTAGTATTTTCAAACCATCGAATGTTAAGTCTCCACAGGATGAAAAAGCACCTGAAACTAGGAAGAAGAAGACCCACTTTGCAGATAAAGCCAAAAGCGTTCAGTCTTCACCAAGAGAGCCAGTAGACGTAGAAAAATCTATCAAAGAAAAAAATACAAAAGAAAAGGAGGGTGAACCAAAACGCCCCGCTGAAAGAGAACGATACGTTAAAAGAACTAAACTAAAACCTAAAAGTCCAACACAGAGTAAAACAGTTGATGGGAATAGTCATAGCTATAGACCAGTTCATTATGATAGAAGAGAAACAGTGGGTTCTAACATGAAGTTACATTTGAACATTCCAACATCAGACGATTCAAGTGAACAATACAGGAAAGAAGGTAATATAATTTAAAGATACAAATAAAGGTATTTAATCCTATTTATTCATAATAGTATATTTTTAAAATTATACTTTTCATGCATCAGGTACGAGCAACGGTAATATATCTCCAAGAAAACATCGTCGATTACGTGATAGTCCGCGAAGGAAAACTGGAAATAATTCTAATAATTCCAAATCTCCTACTACTGCCAATAATCATGCGGTTTACAGGTAAAAAATAAATCAGTCTAATATACTTTTAAACTGTCAAACACCAAGCGGTCACCGGTGACCGCAACCTATTGTTCTATAATTGTGTCTGCAAAACCGGTACTCGACGAGTTAACTCGTAGTAAGAAATACGAAACATAATTTTACAAATTATTTTAGACCAAGAAGAAAAAGTGGTTCGAACGAGAGCATATCACTGCCCGGTAGTTTACCGCGAAGAAAACAGTCAATACCCACAGTCCCTTGCTTAAGTTCTTTAGAAGCTGAAGATATAGAAACGACAAGAACTCTCACTAGTGCAGGATCAAGATTGACTCCCCTTCGATACATAAAAAGTCCTAACACATCACCTAGACACAATCGGAAACAAGATCGAGGTAAAAAAAATACCGTATTAGCTGAAACTTTTTATTTTATCATAATACTTAAATATAATATAATAATATTATAATCTCACTTAACTGTTGTACTAGGAACATCTGCGTATGTATGCTTAAATTCCATTTTGTAACATATTTTATATCTACTTATAATTAAATAATTCATTTTTACAAATTTAGATGGAAAATTTGCCAAAGCCGCATCAGCAGAGTCACTCCGCTCTGTATCACCAGGATCAGATTCAGTGTTTTATTCAGAGCAAACAGAGCATAGTTTAGTGGGAGCTGATGGAGAATCGAAGGCACATTGCTTACACTGCGGCAAAGAAGTTCATATCGTTACTGCTACCCATGAACATGACAGTGTAGCCTCCAGAACATCTCATACTGACGTAAGTTAAAGTCCCAAATTATACTTTTGATCTTACAGATACTAACAAATTATATTATGGAGGGAATACTTTTTTATATAAAATAATATACTTTCTCTTTTGTCTGGTTATAGGAATCCTACGCAGATGCAACGCCGGATATTGTACCAGCACCAGCTGGCTTTGCAGACTCTCCATCTTGTGCCTCAACTAAGAAACATGCAAGTGGAGCACGACTTTACAAGAAACTAGACAAAAGATACCGTTCTGAAGACAAATCAAGACATTACTACCGCAACAGACAAGATGTTCGAGCGAAGGTATTACCAAAATCCAATAAATTCTAAATAAGATATTAATATATCTAAAAAGCCCATATCAATATCCTTTGATAAATTATTGCTTAGAATATTATATTTAGCACATTCTTGCTTATCGTTATCGTATGCATATCCCCATCGGCAAATACATTTGAACGAACCAGGAAGGTTTATACAATTTTCCGATACCCTGTTACAGTTATGTTGGCCTGTAGCACATTCATTTATATCGACACACATCCCAAATTGAGATTTCCATACAAATCCCTCTTCTTTACAATTACATGAAACATTCCATTTGTTCTCAATTATATCATCTAAGTTCTGATTATCTTTACGATCAAAGCGACAAGTTCGAAGACTTTTGTCTTGACTATCAGCATTCTCAATGAAGCAAGGATTGTCCTCATTTTCATAGCACTCTGACACTGATTTTATATGTTTTAATGGACAACAAGGATCAGGACAGAAGCTATACATAGCACAAGCAAACGAGAATTTGTCATCTGAACGAGGATCATGATTGCGGTACCCAAATGTAGAATCTAAGCAATTAGCAAAATTATCACACGTTTCTCCAAGCATCGACAGTGCAGGAATACCTTTCATTGTGTACCAACACATGTAGTAAGAGGCTGACGTTCGCCATTGGAATTTTTCTTCAGGAGCATCAAATGGAAGACCAGTTTTTTCTGCATACAAAAGAGCTTGCTTACAACTATCATCCAATTCAGAAATAGAAGACTCATTAATGTGTTTTTTCTTCTTATTCAAAGTTGTAGTTATGTCATCGTTTCTAGTAAATGGAGCAGTTTCAATTACGCTGTATAAATATTTTATGCATTCATAAAAGTCTTTGTAGCAATTCCCGTAAACTTTCCAATGGACCGCCTTCAGACTTGGGTCAGGAAAAGCGTGATAGAATCCAACTGATGCATCTTGAGGTTTCTCTGGGGAATATCTTCGATCCCATTCGTTGAATTTATGATTTCTTAGGAAATATGCAATATCTTGTAAGGCGTTTACTAACCATTGATCATCAAATACTAAAAATGTTGATTCTTCTGATTGTTCCTCTGGCTTTGGAAAGATTGTTGATGATGACGGATTTAGAATGTCGTCTAATGCGTCTCCAGTTTTGCATAAACAAAAATGTTGATCCATGTTTATATACAACATAATAATGATACAAACAAATCGCAACACAGTCATCATATTTTGTTATGTTATTGTTAATACACAAGAAATCGTGTTATTTTACCACTGATATGATAAGAGTATGGATAAGAAACAACTAGGAAAAAATCGTGCCTACATAAACTTCACTTGGTCACCTGTAATGGCGTATAGAACTAGGGATGTAACTTTTAAAACTGTAGAAATATCGATATTTTAGAATTGGTTTTAATTGACTTATCAATAAAATATCATTATTTTATGATTCATCTGGATTTAATTTTTATGTAGCTGCTAAACATTACCAACATATTAGCGAAATATATTTAGTAGTTGCTGCGTGCACTGTTACTCCAGTCGATCGTGCCTATACATTCACATCATAACTTTCACGATACTTATGTATGGAAATTCATGAAAAGGATTTTCCATCAACTGGTCAATATTTATATACTTAAGGTTAAGTAATTTTTGAGGGTTGAAAAATAAAACTGTATCAAAGTATTCATAAAATCAAGATTTATAATATACAATATCTTCGTATTTTTCGTAGTGTTTCCCTGTAATGTAATCTGCAAAACCATCTTTCGAGAAGACTCCAGAACTGGTTCTAAGTTCATTTTCATGCACATATCTGGCTCGAGGCTGCAACATAAATAGTATAATTTAACTTACTTGATCCAATTGAACATAGATTTTTCTATAGATTCTACCTCTATAGGTACTGTACTAAGCTCTGAACGAAAATGTTTGTACATTACAATGATAGTGATAGATAGCGGAGGAAAACAGAAACATATAGGTACAAGAACCCGGTTATTTATGAACTTAATATAAATGTTAAATAAAATGTTAAGTTTGCACCTCTTCAAAAAATGCTTCCAAAACTAATATAACAAAACACATAATGAATCGTTTACATTATGATTTACCAATAGAGCTTGTAGCGATAGGGCCCCATCACGTAGATTTACTATTAATTTATTGTTCGGTTAAAACATTAATCTTCAAAATAAAGTTAACAAACAAAGATATGTTTCCTTCTAGTATCTATATTTCCCACATTAATTATTTCCAGCCAAGAACTTCTGCGTGGTTCAAGCACAAACTAAAAAGAAAATTTATAATATTATTAAAATTATCGGCAGAGTTCGACACATTCTAATAAATACTCTAAGAATACCCTAAAGTTATATTTCATTTGTTTGTTTCATTTGAATCCGTCGAGCGGCATTTGATAAAAAAATCAATTTTGACAAAAATGCATTTCCCACAATATTATTCCTTATCTCATATTGTACAAAAATTATTCTCTATTGTATTAATTATTTATTACATTACGTAGGTATTGACGATGGTGGAATTTTGTCGATAAAATGAAATTTTTGACGAGTACTTAATGTTTTTTGTATTTTGTCATTATGTCAAATTAATGCACTTTATCATTCAGAATTTAGTATAGTTCTTTGTTCTACTTTTGACGCATTTATTATGTACGATAAAATTATCGATACGGGAACAATCATGTACATCACTATTTTTTAATGAAAATTGTTTTAGACGTATTTCAACTAAAATTAATGAAAATAAGCACTGCATTAGTTAGAAAAGTATTGTATTTAGTCAATTTGCAGCAACCACACTTGAATAGTTTGAAAAACAGAGATATTTTAATGAAAAATAACAGTACTTACCGATGTAATGTTACACCTGCCGGTTTAGTAATATTTTTAGTGCTACATCCAATAACACTGCACCCGGGCATAGTTCTTCTCACTAACCAATAATTTCTTTGTTTACCACGCACAAAAACAACAGGAATTCTACAAATTTTCGTAACAAAATATTGTTGACCAATGCTTTGACAGCTGATGTACCACTGACATGCACTGATAACAGGGACTAAGATGGCCAATTCGGCACAACTAGGTTTTCCTGATGACGTCAAAAAATTATGGTCAGAATGACAATAATGTGTTGTGTCTTTCTGCGTAAGCAAAGAGACATAAGTAAAAAAGAAACAACAGTATGTTTATGAGTTTACCGTCAAGATGGATCCTAAATTCTACCCGTAGACAATAGCCAGACATCTATGTTATATTTTTAAATCTATGTATTTTACTCACAAGAAGACGTTCAAATCCCTATATACAAATGTACTCTGTGGTTCAAATGTCAAAAAATGAAAAACATTCATAAATTTAAAACTAGAACAATTTTTATATTTGTGGTCTATTCTAAAAAGTTTTATTAAATAAGTTTATAATTATGTAATACAATGTAATCATAGTCGAATTCCAATATTATGAACATTAATAATAATTTTTTATTTCATTTTTCTCTATTGTAGTCTGAAGAAAGAGGTAAGGAGGAATATGCTTCGGGGGAGAAAACCCAAGATACTCGCATAGCAAGATCGGCTGGAAACAGTTTAGACAAACTGGGAGGATCCAGCGCGAGTGTGGATCCAGACGGTTAGTGTGTTATCAATTTCTCTGATAATTAAAAAAAAAACATTATGCAAATTAAAATATCTCCATAAATGAATGTATATTAGGAATAAAATGGATGTAGCAGCAGCTACTAGCTACTAATAGGGTTAAATTGAAACTTCGTATTTAGCGCTTGAACTGCTGCTGGTTCATATATTCGTTTTGGTTCGATCTCAATACATACAAAAAATTACCATCTTAAGCAAGTCGTTGTACCGAAACCATAGCTTGCTTTTAATCGCGGCATCGCCATCTAGTTATAAAAATTGAACTAAATTAATGAATATGCATTTTATGGTTTCGTTACTTTGGTGTTGAGTTTTGGTCATCGACAATGGATATTAAAATATTTTTGTATAGTTTTGTTAACTCTTTCTGAGACCCATTTTTGTAATTAACACTATTTAATTTATAGAACATGAAGAATGTTCTGGAAGCTCTGAAGGTGCTGAAGGAGGTCGAGACGAAAAAGGGATTTATGCTGCTCCCTGGTGGTGTGGAAACTGGATCATGCTATCTGAGAACAATGATCAGTGGACCAGGATTCCTCCAGGTATTAACTACTATAAATACGATAATAATTATATTAAAAGTTAACCTGTTTTACTGAAACAAAAATTATTGTAGGTGCTTTCTAAAGTACTGCTTCGAGTGGTCGCAAGAGCGACTGCCGGGCAAGGGGTCTCGGGTTCAATCCCTGGGTTGGGCAAAGTATTACAGGGGCTTTTTAAAAAAAATCTTAAAATGATAAATAAATTAAAGAAACAACTCGCTAACTTATCCATGAGGTAGTCAAAATGGGCTAAACAACTAAATATAGAAAAGAAGAAGCGGAATGGAAAACACGTATGACTAACTATGACACAATTGCTCTTAAAATAGTTGTCGTCAAGAAAGACTATTTAGATCGGGCCAAATCACCTAATCGTAGAATAAAAACAAAAATTATGCCCGATGACTTCATTGAAAATAAGAATATCAGAATACGGATTACATCAATTCTTGGTCACGATTATTTAATTGTCCTCCAAACGAATATAAACTTTATTTCTTTTTAACCATGAATCATATTTTAATGTTAAATCATTATTATCATTCCAAGAGTTTGATATGCCAGACATTAGGGCGCTATAAATTAAATTAAATTGAAGGGAATAAATATAGAGGGAGTTACTTGTCTCGGAATTTTGTTAAATTATCACTATTTCTAACAACTTATTATGATACTAATGTAAGTATATACAACTATAATATCTTCAATAATATAGTAAATAGGTTTATTAAGGGTCAGCAAGCCGCATGTAATGCACCATGTGTTGTAAGTGTTCATAGGCCACGGTAACCACTTACCATCAGGTGGGCCGTGTGCTTTTGCCACGGTCGTGGTATAAAAAAATATTATTTATTACTAGCTATATTTACTACTATCGATTTTTGGCTCAGTAATATTTTTTTGTTAACAGATGTGATTGACACTGGATCGGAAGCTGGGCAAGAAGACCCGACAGAATCAGAATCAGAATTCAATAAGAGATACGTGGCTTTGACACATAGGCTAGTGCACCGACGGGCGTGCATTGAACTCAACAGACGACAAGCAGAAAATAGTTTTGGTAAGACTGAAATAATAATTATTTTAGCTAAACATGACATTTAGTTAGGGCCCTTGAAGAGTTACCATTATGAACATAATTTTTGAACGAAAGCCATTTACAGTAAACCTTGTTTTCGGTTGTATGTGAATTACCTATTCCTTTTCATATTCTGAACACAATATTTTTAATTTAATAAAGCATAAATTTGATGTTGAATTTTTATCGTCGCTGTTTAGTAAGAGCATCATAAAGCGATCTTCATGATCGCGTTTACCGTCTATATAAAGCCCTTCATTCCACGGTAGCTATTATAAAACAGGTACCGTATTGCGTCATTATTATTAACGAATAGTTAACCGCTCCACTTCGGAAGCGTGACGTGCAAAACTATTCCTAGTATTCTCACATTTTTAAATAGCATCACCTATTATTTTAAGAGTGTCCCCTGAATTCCTTAGTACATCTATGTCATTGGCACAGAAAAAAATTGGCTGCCAATGTCGTCATCTCATTTTCCAATATTTTTTTACGACCTTGACATGAAAGTAATGAATTTTAATGGACCATGAAGATGAGTCACGCGATCAATTTTAGTTTCAATCAGTGAAAGGTACGGAATCGTTTCAGAATCAAAACTGACCGAACTGTTGCGAACTAAAATTAATTCTCGTAGCGTGTTTGAACGTCAGTGTTCAGTTGTTGACGACACGCTACTGTGGCCAGATGATATTTTTACGTCTGACGTTCGGCAAATGTTTAGTTCGTATTGATTTTACATAGCAAAACTCGTCTAGACGACGGTTAATGACGTAATTTTCATGCAGTCCATGCGGACAGTTAAATGTGACATACGCCGGTTCAAAAGTTCAAGTGCTTAGTTTGGATCAGTGGATTTTTGTTGAAGAATGGGGCATTCATGTGAGTAAATTTCTCGTGGTACAATCACTGAAGTTACAGAAGGTGAAGCAATACAGTTACAGTTTAAATTATTCTGTGTTTTAGTTAAAGATATGTTGAGCTCCAAGGGGAGTATACGACAGAAATTGGAGGAAATCCTCAAGTTGATGCTGATGTTATGGTGTCGGCAGAGTCAAATTAGCAGGCTTGTGGCTCCAGAACCATGCGGTAATACTAAATGAAAATATGTAATAACCGTATTTTAATCTAATGCTTTATTAATGAAAATAATTGTTATAGCTTTAACGAGTAAAGAACATAATTTTATTGTCTTCTGTATCTAAATGCTTAAAATTTTAGTTTTGTAATATTGATTTTGTTTGTAATATTGATAAAATCTATTTAATATTGAAAACCTTTAATGAATTTTGTATAAAAATACTAACACCTACATAAAACATTTTGATAATTATTAATGTTCACGTGTTGAACGGTATGTGAAATATTAATTAATAATAATAAGTAATAACAGAACGTTATGTCATTAAACCCACTTTGACAGTAAATGACCGTTGGTATACTAACTGCGTTTTCTGCATTGCATGAATGAATAGTCTCAGTACAAATCTCCTGGGCATTAGCCAAAAGCGAAAGTTTTTCTGCAAATATTTGGACGGACATGCTCTTACCATCTAGAGTACGTATGTGTGTCATGGCCAGATTTCCTCCGACGAGTTTATTGCCGCTTCTAGGCCGACATCATTGTACTATTTAGATAAGAAAATAAATATTAGGCCGGGAATGACGCAAAGAAAATATACAGCATAGCAAACTTATAAGTATATTATAGTTAGGTGATTGGTTTATTATTTCGTTTAACTATTATATTCGTCTAATATTTACTAACCGTTTTACTCGTAAAACGTTTTTGCTGTAAGTGGCTTTCAAGAGTTTTGGAAGATTTCGATGTTCGTAAAAATATTATGATTCGTATTTATAGTACGCTTAATTTGAAGGTCTTATGGATCATCTGCTATTGCTATCAAATTCGTTTGACCATATAACAGCATAAATTGCTTGTATATTTTTAAGGGCGTGATTTATTTTAGTAGTATGTACCTACATAATAAGTGTGGGGTTTAATTTGTTAAGAAATCTATTTACCAGACTGTAGGAAGGGTATCGTAGCCTTTTTTAGACTATATGACCTTTATGATATAACCACGTTGGCCAAGTGGTCTCAAGTGCAACTACTATTGAGCTAAGCTAAGCTCCAGTGAGCTTTTACACTACCGCTATAACACGGGACTCATAATATAAATAGTGTTACATTGTACAGTGGAATTAGGTGGCGTAATGTGTGTCTCTGCCTACCCCTTCGGGGATAAAACATCACAGGTAATATTACCGATTAAAAATGTAACATCATACATGCACTTTTTGACTTCTTTGTTCGGATGCATCTTAAGTCAAGGCATGATTGTAATTGTTTTTGTACAATTTACAGAGAGCGACAAAACAGTGGTAGTGAGGCGTGGTAACGAAGAATTTGGGTTCCGAATCCATGGGAGCAAGCCAGTTGTGGTATCTGCTATCGAACCTGATACTCCTGCTGAAACCTCCGGACTAGAAGTTGGAGACATCGTTATAGCTGTGAACGGTAATATTCTTTCTTTATTAAAATTGAGGACTGTTTTATCCCCAATGACTTGTTGCTTATAAATTGGCTGTTAACACATATATAATCTACTATATAAAAATAAGTCGGGTTTTCCTTCCTGACGCTATAACTCCACGCATGAACCGATTTCCACGGTTTTGCATTCGTTGGAAAGGTCTCGGGCTCCGTGAGGTTTAAAGCAAAGAATGTTACATAAAACGAAGCCATCTGATGGCGAAAAGGAGTTCGCTGGGTTTGCTAGTTGTGTATATTAGAGTACCGATAACAGAAACAAGGGAAGAATACTACAATACGAAGCCAGAATTACATTAAAAAAGGAAGATTAAAGTCTTGAACAGTTTGCATTCAATTTGAAAACAATAACAAAGAACGGCTCGATTTAATACCACATGATTCGGAACTGGAATCCAGCTTACACTTGCATTTCAATTGGAAAATTTATAACCCACTAAATCCACTTGATTGATTTATTGCGGTGCATAATGTTCATCAATATATTTACAGGAATCAATGTCTTAGATAAGACGCACTCGGAAGTGGTGAAGATTGCGCATTCCGGATCGGAAATTCTTGAATTAGAGGTGAGTTTTTATCAAAGACACTTTTTTAAAAGGTTGCTTTTGTGAATGTTGAGACGAGTAGGTTATTTCATTATGGAATGCTATTGAGTTTTTTAATTTTTAACGGATGGAGGCCTATTGATATAATCTGTGAATGATACTTAGTCCATATTTTAGCAAAATGCATAGAAATAAAGTCTTCAAGGCCTGAGTGAATTGGTTGCTTATGGGTCACCGTGCTCTATCGTAGACCACATCATCGCTTACCTACCACCAGGCGAGATAGTGTTTAAACGTCGGCCCATCAAAAAAAAAAAAAAATAGTGTGCCCCAAAACACCCATAGAAACTTGGAATAGAACTCAAAACATAATAACCACTCAATCAAAGAAGTAACCAAGATCCATGAACTTAATTGAATTTAGTTAGTTGATTTAAAAAAAAAAAACGTTGCCCCATACTGGGATTGTCTCCTGTGTCGTGGGTGCGTTTACAAACATACAAATTTACGTACATACGACGCCCAGACCCGAAAGAATCTGTGGATCACACTAAGTGTTGTTGGCAGCCGATTGCCCAGCCACCGCACCAAGCGTACAGTCAAGAATACAAGATTACCTAATTAGAGAATCAAACATGTTTTATTTGATAATAAACAGTCATCCATAAACATAACAGTGTAACATCCGTTAAATCAAATCAATCTAGCCATACCACATCGTAACCCATTTTTGTGAACTTATTTTATCTGTAAGTGTAACATACAAATACACATCCATGATCGTAAATATTTTTACTTTACTGCCGCTTCAAGATGGTCTTCATAGATTTTAGGTTAGGTTAGGAATTCACTTCATCTCTGCGGATGAATTTGGACTCCCGCGGGCCCGCACGCACGTGGGAGGAGACACTGGGGTGGTTTTAGCCGGTAAGAGTCCGGCACACCCCTCCGCCTTTCCCCAGGTGGAGGCAGTCCATGAGGATTTCCCCCCATTAAAAAAAAAAAGGAATTCACTTTATCTACTTTGGAAAATTGGTTGGTCAATTATGTACTTTAGCGACTATTGAGTACTAGATTTTAGGCTTGATTTTCTGGTCAATTACAATGTTCATGTATTTGCAGATTGCAAAATGATCACTCTTAATAACTTAAAAAAAAATTAAAATAATCGGATCTGAAATTGTTCCTAGTATAAGACAAATATAGCAATGCGTCAATGCAATATTACTAAATATGTGCCTCCCTCTGTAAATACTTGTCATACTACCGATATTATTTTGTTTTATACTTATGCTGATAAATAAATAAATATACTTATGCTGATAAATAATCGTCTTACTCCAGGTGGCCAGAACATGTGAGGTGGTAGCCTCGTTAGCTCATGAAGGAGGACCTGCAGCCTTATATTCAGGGTATCTATGGAGGGCAGCTCCAGCAAGACCTCACCATCCTCCGCGTTGGACCAGACGATGGTTCGTCCTCAAGAGAGACAACTGCCTTTATTATTATAAGACAGATTCTGTAAGTAATTTCATGTATTACGAAATTTTTCACATCCATTTCTGTTTATTAAATATTACGAGTAAATAATTATTCAATATCAAAAGCAAAATATCTGGACGGATGAAAATATTTAATTATTTTCTCAATCTCTACATTTTGTTATTTTCTACAACGTAACAAACAATATTTATTTTGATAACGAATAACGTCTACAAAAATATAATTGTGGTGCTTTAAAAATCATAATTATAAACAGTGCCATCTATTGATCACAACTTGTATCACTTGTAGAGCATTCATCCCGTGGGAGCTCTCATGCTTGTGAACTATCAACTGACCGAAGAGGACGCAGGTAGACCCCACGGGTTCCGATTACATCGCGGCGGTGGCGTGCGTTTACAACTGGCAGCTGATACTTCTGAGGCGGCCGCTAGATGGCGCGCAGTTCTTGCACATGCCATTGATGCTAGCAATCAGGTTTGTTACTTTAACTGGTATTTAATATTTATTTTATTTAATTGGGATTTTGTTATGATTCAATACAACCATGATTAATTTTGCCGGCTTCAACTGCACTACAATGTACAACATTATCAGGTACCAAATAGTTCTGAGGATATTTAATAGATGGCGCTTAACTCAATTTTGTTTATTTAAATACCACGTTATCTAATTGCTGTCAACGAACTCTAGGGACTCCATAATAGAAGTTAGTAAGCATTGTAGATAAAATAATGACTACTTCGCTCTTTACTGATAAATGTACGATAAAAAAGTAAGTTAGGCACTTACTTTACCTTCCAAAAATTCCTGTTTAACATTTCCTATGAGTAATTCTATGTATCATACCTGCACTTACCTAGGTAGCTACTATGATACATATTGAAAGTACATAGGTAACTAAAAATTCCTTTAACGATTTGTGTCCATAGCCTATGCTGTCTATAGTTCGGTCTTTGGGACGCGACGTGCAAACTATGATTGTTCTTTTTTTTTTCAATTTTGAGAAATAACACGGGTCTAAGCTCGCTTAGTAACAATAGGCGTCCTACTGTGAGCCACCACAATGGTAAAGGGACTAAAATAACACAACTGATGAAAAGTGACCATATTGTAAAAAGTAATAATGTAGTTAATTGTTACTTTGGTTATAGAGAAGCTAGGTATACAAATAAGAAGTAAAATTTTAGTTTTAGTAGCTCCACGAATGTGATTTTACATAATTTATGTAAAATCACATTAATGGCTGTAAATGCGACTACCGAGCAATGTTTCCAGTCTTTCGAGAGTATTAATTTTAATATTAGTACGGAGTCTCAAACTCAAATTATGCTTGGTGGTCTATGCTAGCTTCTTATCCCGTAGGACTTATGCCAATGCTGATAAAGTGAATGTTACATTTAGCGCCTATTCCACCACCTTCCCATAAGTACCCGTAATGTAACTATCTGTCATATAAACTAACGTGACAGATAGTTAGTGTAATTTATAACTCATGAACGGCTACATCGATTTGGATGACAATTGGTGGGGAGGTAGATTACAATCAGGAGACGGACATAGGATAATTTTTCATCGATTTTTTTTTTTAATAAAGGCAACATAACAGCACGCCTTTTATCCCCGAAGGTGTAGGCAGAGGTGCATACAGAAGTAACACCCACTTTTCACGATTTATGTTATGAGCCCCATGTAATAGGGGGTGAGCCTATTGCCATATACCGGGCACATATCTAGACTCCGTGCTACTACTGAGATTTTTTTTTTAAACCCAGTTATATTTTGCCCGACCCGGGAATCGAACCAGAGACCCCTTGCCCGGCAGTCGCACTAGCGACCACTCGGCAACGAGGCAGTCCTTTTTTTTAATTTTCACCGAAAATCACGAACGGGAACGGGAAAGAACGGGATTGCGTGTACGAAGTCGCGGGCAGAAGTTAGTAGTTCATATAAATTACGTTCTGCATTAAAATTATGTAGTGGCTATCCTGAAATAGTGAAACACGCCCTTAATAGCAAGCACCTTTACGTATTCTCGGGGCGAATATAACATTTTATTTTTGGTTTCTTATTGTTAACTGTTTAATATTTCTTTTCAGCGCGATGGCTGGTTGGAAGTGACAATGAGGAATATGAAACTACCGCCATCATCGATACCAAGACCGGACTGTTTCGGTTACCTGATGAAGCTTGGCTCCAAGTGGAAGTCCTGGGCCAAACGATACTGCGTACTCAAAGACGCCTGCTTATACTTCTACAATGATGGTAACAGCAAAAATGCTTTTGGTAAGTGGTTTTATGTCGAACTAATAGTACGGTACTTCAAATGAGTTACTTCACATCTAAGAGTCGATTTTTCCAACGCCAGGTAAATTTTAACTGAGGAAGAACTTTGAACATATCACAATTCTTCCACACTAGAGACTGTCAAATATCAAATTTATTCTACAGTTAACTGATGATTGAAAAATATAAAAAAATCGGCCCTTAATAGCGTGTTATAAATACATAAACCTAAATTGAAACAATAATAATACACAAAACTGACATATTTGAAAACTGCGAGTGATCTTATGAAATCTCGGATCTTGGATTTGGGTTTCAGTTTCCAAGTTATTTGGTAATATTATGATAACTATCAGATCTTAATTTAAAATCTCTGGATCGATCTAAGTTTTTGATGGAAAAATCATAACTTAACATAACTCTTAGGTAATAATCTTAAGTAATCAATAGCATTAGCGGTACCTAATTATAATATAAGTATATATATATAATATAATACAATACAAAATATAATATATAATAGAATACCTAAGAACCTAATGGGTTACCGGGGCTCCGGCTCGTAATGCAGGAGAAGGAGCGGAGTGGTTTTTAGGCAGTCAGAGTCTGACACTCCCTTTCGCCTCACCCAGGCGGGAGAAGTCATTCGATGATTTTCCCTAATAAAAAAAAAAGAGTTAGCTAATGTCCAAAAATTGATCCTAATGCAAAAATTTGCACTAAAATAGTTTGTGGATTTCGACCTATTTCGAAGTGCTATAAGGTTCTTATTTCTTCTCTTCCAAAGGTATGGCATGCTTACACGGCTACAGAATACAGACATGCGCTCCTGGCGGCAAGAAATATGCTTTCGAAGTGATGCCAACGGAACCCAAGCAGAGACACTTTTATTTCCATACCGAGTCAGAAATGGATAGGAAACGGTGAGTTAAATATTTTTTTTCTTTAATTATACAATACTATAATATGTATATAAACATCGTGAAGAAACCTAGGAAGTATAAGTTCACTATAATTTATGTTATAACTTTCGTGAGACATACTAAATATAATTATTATAATTTTCAGTTTATTCATGTATTATTTGACGAGGAACTCGACTAGTTTCAAGCCATTCTAGAGGCTCAACAATCATGAGTAGTATTCCTCGAACCGCGCCGCGGCGACTGTCGTGCTTCTAATATAAGTCTCTAGACATAGTATGGCTTGAAACTAGTCGAGTTTCTCGTCAAATAATAATGTGAATAAGCCGAAAAACATAATAATTAATTGAGTTCAGTATAAGCCTGGAATCGCCAATCCGCCTTGAGCAAGCGTGGCGATCAGTGCACATTCCTTCTCTGAATGAGAAGTGGTCTTTGCCCAATTACGTTTACAGGCTTAATATGAAATGAGTATATATTATCCGAGTATCGAGCTTCCATTTATACTACTCTGAAGGTACTTTAATTACAAGAATCTGCCCTTGGCTACAGTGGCCCCATGTTATAACAATCAACAGATGTTTGTGTGTTTTTCTGTTTTACTGGCATCAATAATTCTTGGTTCTTACATCTAAGTAGATGAAATGGTTGAAGGGATCTGAAAATTAGAAACATATTATCATAACAAAATGTGTGACATTCATTCAAATGTCCTAGAATTAGTAATATTGTGAGTGCTCCTTTCGCCTATGATACAGGATATTCTTCCTAGTACAGGCATTCAAACGTAGGGAGAAAAAAATATTTTAACACATCATATAAAAATTACAACAAGATCGAATTTTAACTAGTACAAACAATAAAAAATGGAATTAAGTCAATTACACCATAGTTTTGGACATCAATAAAATAAAATAATAAAAGAATATGTTTCATAAAAGTTCGTTAAGTTTGGCCTTAGGCTTACAATCGACTGTTAGTCCGTTCCACTCTATAATATTTTTTTAATTAATAAATAACTACATCACTAACAAGACCTTAATAATTATAATAACCGTTTTATTGCCGCGTTGGCCTAGAGGGATTATAAGTAACTGCAAAGTTTGAGTTTCTACAGATACACTGTTCGATATTAGAATTACAGAACCGCGGAGGACTTCACAGGTTACTGGGGTTCCGGCTCAAAGAGCAGGAGTAGGAATGGGATCGTTTTTCGTCAATATGAGTCCGACACTCCCTCTCAGCCGAAGCGGGAGAAGTCATTGGATGAATTTACACCCTCAAATATCATCTTCATACTCATTAAAAGCTCGTTATAGTCCACTATGGGTTATCATCCATAGTATAACGCGCTGTTCAGAACTAGTAGTAAACCAATACTATGGGATTCCTAAATATAAATAAGAGAGTTTGCTATAATTTCCGTGTTAAGCAAAAGGCTAGGATCTGTAGATTCATCATCATCATCAACAACTTATAAATGCCATGAGCAAAGCCTCTTCTCACATGGAGAAAGTTAGAGCATTAATCACCACGTTTGCTCAATGCGGGTTGGCAATTTTAAACTTATAATTAGAAATTATAAACTCAGGTTTCCTCACGATGTTTTCCTTCACTTTTTGTCAGTGGTGTCTAGATAATCTTAGAAAATACATATAACGCGGAAAATTTCACATTGGTATTCGCCTTTGGTAGGTTTCGAACTTGCACCCTCGTGCATGAGAAGCAGGCGTCTTCAACCTCCGGGCCATCTCGAATCCGACTCTGTGGATTATTTCTCCAAAGTTCATTTACTTTTATCAATATTCTTAATTGTTGTATATCATTTCATTTGACTGTGTAGTTCGTATTATATGCATAGGGGGTATGTTACGATCAGGATCGGGATCGATACGGGAGATTATTACCATGTGAATAAAAGTTTAAATTTTGAAATTTGAATTTGATCTCTCTCTTAGCTCGATACTATCTCGATGCCCTTTGCTTCATTTTGTAATTGGTATCTTTCATGTATTTCTGAAATATAATTTCTAATTATTAGTTTGAAATCGCCAACCCGCAATGTGCAAGCGTGGTGATTAATGCTCAAACTTTCTTGCGTGAGAAGAGGCTTTGTTCAGCAGTGGGCACTTATAGGCTGTTGGTGACGATCTATTTCTGATATGTGAGATTTTACGTCCTGTTTGCAATTAGTATTGACGTTATAAAGAAACATTGCCTTCCAATCACATCCATTTGAATGACAGGGTAGCCTTGTCTTCAGACCCAATCGGCAGTCGAATCGTTTTGATAAATAAACCTTTTTCGATTTGAAAATCCCTTCTCAGTCTGATGAGGATGCGCTGATTACATTTCAGTCCAAGATTGTCAACCCTAATAGAATTAATCGAAACAATTTTAAAGATCCTTTGTTTTGAAGCTTCAGAAAAGTATGCCAGTGTAACCTACACCTTTATTTTTATATTTTTATTTATTAATGCAACAAATATGAAAGTTCCTTAACCGTCTGCGGCTGACGTGTAGTCCCACAGACACCGCGAAATACAAAATCACGTGTTATACCGTCATTTTTCAAATACGAGCATCACTGCTGCGGGTACCTTACTGTATCTGCTGTTGAAATGGTGTCTGGTATAATATACACCTCAGTTGAATTTTAACAATTTAACCACGTCAGTTGCAGAGGGTTAAAAATGTGCTTCGTGTTCTAAAAATTGTTCAAAAAAACATTTGTAATAAAAAAATTGACTATTTTCATTGTTTTTTTTTATTGTTCTTAGGTGGATGGCAGCTTTGGAGTATTCCATAGACCGATGGATGAAGGCTGGTTGACGTCGGGCCTTCCTCTCGGAAGAGTCATTCGATTTTATATAATTTTAGTTGTATTAAATATATCCATTGTTATTCCAGTTATTTTGATTTATTATATTTATTTCGCTTAGTGTTTTTAACTCATTTATTGATGTTTTATGACAATATATTATATTAAATTTTTTTGAGTAAAACATTGTGTTCTATAAAAGATGAATGCAATCTAATATTAGGTATATCAACCTATCTAATATATATATATAATTATGATTATTTATTGGATAAAGTTACATGATGGTCTTAAAAATCTTGATAACTAATCTTCTAACAACTATTTCAAATGCTATTCAAAAACGATAAAATTTTACAATCTGAAATATTTCTATGAATGGGTTAGAAACAACAGCATTCGTATTTTCAAACCCATCTTCCTAACGACATTATAACTTAGCGCCTTCTATAATTTAATTGTAAGATTTCACATGGCAATTTTCGAATTTTGCTCGGACATGCCTAGCGTGCAGACAACACTATGAGAAATTAATTGAACACGCTATCAGGGTTCACTAACACACATAAAGTGCTCGAAATTAATCGTTTTATTTCAAAATTATTCGTCAAAAAAATATCAACGTATATGGTATATCTATACCGACATCCCGTCCTTTGAACCCTAAATCCATGCCAACCGATGCTTGTATAGAGAAAATATAATTATTCTTTAATTATAAAAATATATTCAGAAAATTATTTATATAATTATAATTATTAAATTGCATGTAATTTGTTTCGTAAATTATAATTAAACTTTAAAATATATAAAGTAGATATCACGGCAACGACGCATCGAAGATAAACTTGTATTAAATGCATAGCTTTAATCTATGTAATTCTAAATAGATATATTAAAATGAAATATATCAATGATGTTAATGGCTAAAAATCATTATGTAAAATGTCTTTTTATACACCTGATATTACGACTGATGAAAATGAGACTAAAAATGGAGAAATAAAAATAAATCAATAAAATATTCCTACTATAGTATACCTTTACAAGTATACACAGATTCTGGAAAAGAATAATTAAAAAAATGAATAGTAAAAATATGAATAATAATATCAGAAATTCGAATGAAGTCAAATGGTACGTGAAACTGAACTTAGAGTAACGACTGACATCGTAAATATATAAAAATATATTGATGGCAACATCTAGAAGGTAATATAAGATGAAATAATATTCCTACTAATAGTTACATTTACTACATAGGTGTGAAACGTAGAAACATTAAATAATATATAGTAGGTATCATTATTAATGTGCCAATTCGTTAGTAAATTTATTAAGCCCTAGTTAGAATTTATCTTAAAAAGCACAATACATTTTATATAATTTCGTCATTTTAATCTGTAACCCTTATTTAAAATGGTGATTGTTATCAGTGTTGTGAATTTTTCGAATAATTATTGTTTATATATAAGCGTCGTATAATTTTATATATATAATTATAAGTGTGGTCATTATCATTTCTTTGTAATGTTGTTGTAAATATCGATAATTTTGATGGAGGGTTACAGAATTTACAGATCACTTTATAGTATTCATAATTAATGTATTTAATAATTATATAAAATTATAAATGAATAAATATTATAATGATAAATTATTGATTGGTATAATCCCCTTTAGAATGTGGTCCATACTAGGTGACTTAAATTGTGCATTAAAATGATAAAATATAATAGGAAGAAAATAAAAACCGTATTTGATGAATTGTATATAAAATAATCAGTAAAAGCTCAATATTGTATTTAAATAATAAATAAAAAGACTTGATTGTAACACAGTCAGTAAAAGCTTATAGATTAGTAATTGTAAATTAGTGAATGTTTACATAGAAATATATATTATATATATAATTTACGTTTCATTTACGGCAATATTTATATATGCACGTTATTTACAATCATAGTTTATGTTTTATTAATAATTCATAGATTTATCAACAATATTATTATAAAAATGATATACTAATCGTTATTGTAATGTGTTCAATAAATAAGTGGATCAGAAATATAAAAAGAAACCATAATAACTATTTATTCTTATCAAAATGATTGTACTCTCTTGTTCATTTATGTATGCCAAAGAATTTGTGCCAGATTTTATTGTGACTGTTGCCAAATATGATTTTATTTTAAATGAAATATATAAAATTAAATGTTTTATTTAAGATGATAATAAATTATAACTAGTATCAGTCAGAATTTTTTAATTAATATATGTGACTGTATGAATAGATTTCGTTGTAATAAAGATTAAAATAAAATTTATCTTTGTTGTTTTATTAAAATACGTAGGTAATGATAGATTATTTTCTCTTATTTACTTGAAGAATATAATCGAGTAGAAATAAAGGATTTTTGAACGAATGACATTCTGGTTCTAAGCTTAAATCAGTATAATAAGTTACAAAAACATTATCAATTAGCGTCTGCAGTCGAAATTCATGAAGCACGATACAAAGTCTGAGGGCGGTGTTAATTTACACGACTTATAAGCTACTAACACGAAAAATAAACAATTCAACGATATCCTTCCCTTTTTTATCGCTCCCAAAGTAAAAACAGTATGGAGGCTTCGGTGGGGCGGCGGTGAAGGCGCGGCGCGCGGGGGGAGCGACGCTACAGGAGCGCTACTGCCTCTGACGACGACCGACAGTAGTACGCGCGCTCAACTCCCTCCAGTCGCGCGCCATGCGCACGCGCAGCCTGAACGCACAGTGATGCCATACTGGAAAAAAGTGTAGTGAACAAACTTGAACCTAACCAAGGATTACAGTGAACAATTTAAAAGTGCATTATTATCGTGAACCCAAGTGAAGAAGTGACAGTTTTGCTACGGCAATAACATTATTGTTCGGTCTCTATTAACTGTTTTATGGCCTGTACAGTGCGTCTATTGTTGTGTTCGCTTCCACTAATCTCCTATTCACCTGTTTCAACGCCACCTACTGCGGTTGGACTGTGAAATGTGACAAAAAATTGCAATGGCCATCCATTGTACGCATGCGGACGCCAGTTTGTAAACTTTGCGTGTTGACTACCTGACTACTGGAGGGTTGGACCACGACGGATCGGACGATTGATCGCCCAACTGCCTTGTGAGTGGATTTTTTACGATTTTTGTAATTTAATACAGCGGATGTGGAATAAATTGGATAGGCTGGGTGAGCTTTGCTACCTGTTTTATCACGTGCCCCTATGTTATTGTTTTTAACGCATAAGCTTTATAAAAACAATTCTGAGAACTAACGGGGCTGCGGTCGGTTCTATTGTTCTATTTTACAGCGCTGTTTACTTAATACTTCCTGCCACCGTGCTAAGCAGTAATTATCTTGTTATTGTTAAAGTACTAACTGCAAATGGGTTTGCAGATCCCAGCTTTTTGTTTCGTCGCGTGCTATTGTTGTGCTCAAGCAATTGACTCTACCGCGACTACTTTATCTTTGGGCCTAACTGTAATATTTAGCCCTTTACTATCTGCTGCTATTGGTTACACACCTTTATCAATGCCATCATTTCCTGTACCTTAAACATGCACTTTTAGGCCACTCAGTTTCATCACCCCTTTAGTATCTACTGTGTACAGCTACATAACATTTATATACAAGTTTTCATTTAAAACCATGTTGTTATTAGCTTACTTCCATGTGTATAAAAACATACTGAAATAAAACCAGGTGCAGCAATATTGCACGACATTTTGAACTCTGTTTCAATTGTCGTTCAGGTCAAAACAGTATGTACGACTCGAGATATTACTGACATTGCCATCTGAAATGACTTCCTTATGGTATTATTCATGCGGGATTGAAGTAAGTACTTAAAGGCTTGTATGGATGGAAACTTCATCAGGAGAAAGATTTTAATTACATGTTTATTAATAACTTTGGATATGAAATTTTACAAAACACAGAAAGAGCTAAACAACTACAGCAGCTTGAACCTCATATAATTACAGAATCAATTAAAAGGTTCTGTTTTGATCATCGGCTTTGGTCATAATAGCGAAATTTACAACATCCAATCAACGAAACATAATAAAAATCGCTATAAAAACTAATTACGTTTTAGATCCGACTGATGCATAAGCCTTGACTACGATTCGAAATGCAGGCCCGGTAACTAACAAGTCCAACTTTACTACTAAGGAAAAAGTTGATTGAGTAAAAAATAATTAAAGTTTTGTTATAAACTGGAAGCAATTATCCTTGTTACTTGGTATTAAAACCTTCAGTATCCTTCGGTTTTACTACTAAGTAAACTTTTACAGAATAACACATATCATAGAATTTCTTTGCTTATGACAAACTTCATAGTAGAAAATACTCAAAAACCAATAGAGAAATGCGTTTATGTACTCAGTAGAATCTCCATCAACAAAATTACATAAAGACAAAATTCTTTGGTGACGGCCAATCGGTACGCGAAAGAATTTTAATGGTTTCAGAGCTGCGACATGTTTATTCTTCGAGACGTTTCTATACGACACGATATTGATTTATATTGAGAAATTATATTAGAAGGAAAAGCTGAAGATAAAAATACAGAACCAACCATTTTGAATGAACCCCCTCGCAATACAATTACACGTGGCAATAAAACCAGAACTGTTTATCTAGAGCAAGCATTTCTAGATGCTAATACCACTATAATGAAGGATAGTAATGAGAAAACATTACATAACGGTAACACAGTAGAAACGTCGGAAGGTTTTAATTGTTCTGCAAATAGTAGTTAATCTTAACCATCAAGAGATAGCAGTGTAATCTAATCAAAGTATGATAGTTATCAGAACCTTGCGACACCGAAAATGGATGCCGCAATATAACATCAATAAACCTTTATAATTTCCAAGTATTTTATGTATTGTGGTGGTAATCGGGGAATAACTATTAATGTTGATTGACCATTATCTATTGTCAGCAGAGGTACGGAACTTGAAAACAAAGCAGTTACAGACTCAATGGCAGTTCCAAGACTAGCTGTTACTTCGAATGGTAATGATTGATGTTCCTCTGTTGCTTTCTCTCTGGTTATTGTCTCAAAGCTTTTCAATCAGGAAGCCATATTAGACATTTATATTAAGGAAATATGTCTTAAATTTCCTTACCAAGAAACTGGTGATGAGATTTGAAATCGAAAAGAAGTTTTATGAGACAATAAACAAGAAATCTTTTTAAACAGTCACAAAACACTATAATAATGTGTTAGTTGAAACCTGTTAAAACTGATTTAATAAGGAAAAGTAAAGATAATTGAAACGAGGAAAGTGGAGATAATTATACATCTAAAAAGCAATTAACCATCGGCAAATGTCAAAGAGATTCATTAAACTGATTATCAGATATTACGGTTTATCGTCATGCATCAAACTAAGTAACACTTGTTTTCGCGTAACAGCAAACAGTTAAGCGCCATTTTAAAAAACCTTCCTCGAAATGCCGACTTGATGCCAGATAAGACTCAGAATGCGACTAATCTAAAAACAAGATTTAAAATAACATTTTATTTGAGTGGCAAGCCATAAGACGGACACCTGATAAAGAACATTTTTTGGTAAACCTGAGAAACAAATACAATATAAATTATGATCCTCTAGCATTAAAAGATATTACAAATATAATCTATATTGAGCTCTAGTTAAAAACAAATTATTTTTGGTAGATGAGCATCTGCTCTTCAATATCTTAATTGTTTTGGTTTTGGGATACGACAGTATTGATAGTCACACCATGAAGAACCTTTATTTCTCGCAATTCAGTTTACTTAACGTAGATGGGAAAAATATGGTTATAGTTAAATGGTTGATTTAAATGGTGATGTACTACATGTGGTAGAAGAACGAGAGAAGAACGAACAAAGAGCTACAAACGAAGATGATGATAAAATTAACCATAAATTAGAAGATAATATTTATAGAAAATGGAGACGTAAGAGCATTATCTGCTCATCTAGTTAAAAATTTAGATTCCCGTCACAACATTGTGTTAACATTAAAATTTGTTGAATATTCATTTCAAAATGTTAATGATTTCATCTACTTGAATAATATAGAGATCGCAATGAAATATTCAGTGTGAATTTGAGGTGTCATGAGAAGAGTCAGTCTAATTATTAGGCGTGTATCTCGATCCATAAATTTCAATATGTTTTAATAGTGTTTTGTAACTGACAGTCAAAATTACTTAAAACGTACCGCCTCGACGTGCTTTTGCAGGAGGCTTTGGTCCATAAATTATTCGACTCCATGCCTGATTGAATTGTTGAATGTCTCTATTTGATTCCAATGTAAAATTTCTTTCTAATCGGCTAGTTTATCATCACTACCATAGATATAGTAAGAGAAGTAAGAACTGATGCATTTGCAAATAAAGAAGCTTGCATAATAGGGGACAAAAACCACCAAACATCCTCAATTCGCGTTAGTTCCCATGGAAGAAAGAATGTTTATTTATTACTCAATCATAACGGATCAATAATTTTGTCGAAACTTGTATTCTACGCGAATGAAACCGTGGTAAAAACTGAATTTAATTGCTGGGTTTTACTAAACTCCTATTGTCTTAGGATCGGTTCGTTCGATTATGCTTTGGTTTGTGTTAATTTGCAAATCGCCGTCACATATTGTTGTACACTACACTCTATACACTCTATAAGACGTGAACCACACTGCCTAGTTTCAACACATTGGGTTGTTTCAAATATAAACAGACAACAATTAGTACCATTAGGACATGATCGTATTATCTAAGATTCTGTACCAGTACTCGGAGCTTACGTATCAGGGTGTATAAAACCAGTTTATCTTACAGGTAGTCAGGTGTGGAAGGCTATAAGTTGCTAGGAGATGTAAGCTGACTATTCCATCACCAAAAACACAGATGCTTTATCTATAAGTATTGAAATACATTGATGTGCTATTTAGTATCTTATGCAATCACTACAAGACAGTATAACGATGGTTATACTGCATTTTAATTGTTTTAAATTTTGAGACATTCAAATAGAAATCAAAACTCTCGATATTAGTTTACACGCAGTGGATTCAGGTCAACCTTCCCAATATGTCTACGTAGACACGTCCCATTCAATGTAGATACACAGTAAAGGAGGTTCTTCAAACAATAATTTAGATCCTAAATCAGTAGAATTGGTTCTCAAGATAGCAATATTGATAAACATAATTATTCGAATAATTACCATCATTATAAACTATAGAATGAAAATTATATTGAACAATATTACAACGTGGTTAACTTTACTTATATACAGTTGCGTTGTAAGGAGCTGAATGTAATTTTATTGATATCTTTGAGGGTTATAAACATCAATATCGTGAGGGCCTTTCAGTCTTAATAGCATCGTATTTGTATAATCTGCTGTTGTTTCATGTGCCTTCTTTGAAAGCCTTTGTGAAAAGTGATTTTTCTCAGAATAATAGACTGTTAAGTATCGATGTGCCCAAGGAAGTTGAAAAAAAGCGGACATAATGCCACTTAGAAATGATTGAAGCACCAAAATGTCAGTGGTTTATTTATGTGTGCTTGCGTGTGTGTCCTTGATGTCCTTTGTGTCTATATGTTTGCGTTCTGCGTGTAACTCGATAGTAGCCAGGCGTCACAGTCGTTATTTCAAGAGACTGTGTTCGCTTTTGTCTATCTGCTTTTGTTACTTCTTCCACTCTGAGAGACTTGAACATGTTTAAAAGACCTTAAAAGAAATGAAATAAAACGTTCAATATAACTTAATATCTTACAAAAACCTTATACATTTCTTCTTCGTATCAAAACATAAGAGATCAACAGTCAAACGGACATCACATATCAGAGCCATAGAGATACGAGCATATCTCCACACAGTTGTAAACACACGTAGGTACTCTCTCAATACGAGAAATTTAAATTTCCAAGGAGATCGCTTTAAAGTATTCCTTTTAAAAGGTTTATGTTATTGAAATGACCGGTATTACATCCAGACGTCCATTACTAACTGCACTGTCCACATAAATATTCATATCACTAAATTTTCAAACCGAAAGAGAGATAAAAGTAGTTTTACTGCTTCGGTGCAAGTAAGATGGTAGAAATTCGATCAGGCGGCCCGAGTGCGAGGGAGACGGATGTTACTTAGCTACAGGTGTGAGAAGGATAGCAACAAAATCAGAGGCTTTTACGGTAGAACGGGCAGCGAACAGTGAAATGCGGGCTTGGTACACCTTTTTCGATCTCGCTTGAATAAATTGAATTTGAGATGAATCTTTTGTAGTTGCTATAAATGACGGCTAGATTTTTCTGATGTTAAAAATATGATGGGCAGAGCTATAAAATTTGTTTTTTACGAGTGAGATTATGTTGGATTGAAGTATCTTGATTCTTAATCTGGTTATATATAACATCTATGCGTATATTAGTTACTACAATAAGATTAAAATAACCGGTATGTAATCAAATTTTTTTGCTCTGTTTTACTTAATACAGGCGTACCTGTATGCTATACTACAAAATATTTAACTAACTCATTTGGATTACAGGTTACTTCTTAATTAATGTACTCACATTCATCACCCTATAAAAAGTACCTATACAAGACTGAAGTCTCGAATGTATAACAAAATCAAAACGACAATAAAGTAAGATGTTTCTATCAGAATTCCACGAGAATTTCCCATACAAAAACCAACATTTCTTCATGGAAATCACACACTTTCAGAGATGCGTAAAGAAAACACTCAAATTACTGGCAACTTTGAACATAAAAGTAAAATAACAAGAGACAAGGGACCATTACCGGACAGCGGAATATAAACTATACAGACGCCGGAAACTTTATGAAAACACACGCTGCGCAAGAGTTTAAACTGTTTTATTGTCGTACCATGTTGCTCGTCTCAAATGGAAATAGGATGGGCTCATAAATCTAGGAATAGCAATCTTTGTGACTTTATTAGAGCTGTTCAAATATCGAATCACTTGATAGCACTAATAAAATGTTCCTATAGTTATTTACATTTTTTTAGACATTTTTTCATGAGGTCATAAATTATTATAGGTATTAATAATTTTACGAGGAATATAAACATTACATGTATATTAAAGTCTGAGAAAAGTGTAAATATAATTAATGTTTACAGAAATTATAAGTATAATTTACAAAATTAATCTCAAAAATAATGTTCGAATTCTCACCACATTTACAGCATAAGGTCAAACATGGAACATAAAGTCGATTAAAACTAATTCGATTAAAAACGCAATTTATAACATAAGTCGCTATTTTATTGGCACAATCCACAATTAAGCTGAAAAAAACATGAGGATTTTAAGGACAATAATAATAAATTTTAAAATAAAATTACTTAAGTTTATAGTAAAATCAAATCAAAGAGCACTCGATTATAAATCAGACAATGACACTAATGTTGATACTGTGACCAAATCCGGTACTCATTAGCATTTTCCGATACTACCAGAAGCTTAAAACTTATACAAACGAATAAATTGATGAATGATGCATGAGAGAACTAGATTCTTTAAAATAAAATTTCGTACAAAACGTTTTGCCTCATAGTTATATGTTAATGTTTGATAAGGAGCAGGCATATATTATAAGAGATATAGATATCGCATTTTAATATGTTTTTATTTAGAACTCGTATATTTATAATGTGATCATCTAAAGACCACATAAAATCGTCACCAATTTAAAAGAATATCATTCAGTTGTATTATTATAATAATACCGACTAAACTGCACATGTTACTAAAACCCTCATTTTGAACACTAAAAGCAAATAAAAACTAAACCGCAAATCCAGAGGCGTTAAGTGGCATCAAAATTCACACAAGAAACACCCATACGAACATTTCTTTAATTAATACTACGTCACTAATTAGCATTGATTTTAACGACAGAACGCATCCCACGGGGGACTGATCCATAAAACAGTATGAAATCAATAACATGTAAATGAGGGTTCGAAGGCAGTGATCTGATTTCAATACATTTCATCTGTTAGGTGAGAATTTATGTCTTATGCTAATACAGTGAAACAATGCAGGACTGCTTAATTAAGCATGATTCTCGTTCCATAAATCTTAATGTTCATCAACCGTGGGATGGTAAATGAACATAAGTGCCGTATCTCTGATCAAACGAAAGATGGAGATAAGAATCTAAGCTGGTAATATTAAAATGCTGTTAATTGATGTGTTTATCATTATTTTGGTGTCTCCATGTATATTATAGAAAACGAAACATTAACGATGTTTACTGATGGCATGGTATTTTTATTAAAGTAGCAGATATGTTTTCTTAGGTTTTTTTCCGTCGTTCCCATAGCCCTATCCCTGTGTAGCTAGTCCAGTTTTAATACATCATTCCCTTTTGAAATGTTACGTAATTTTTGTTAATCTTTTCATTTTTCCAATATCTATAACCAAATTTTATTTACAGATGTTCTTGAAACCGTGATGTCGGACAACGCCGGAGCAGTAGTATCGAGGGCGTCCACACCTCGCCCAGTAAATGATACACCAGTAGCCGCACCTCTCAGGTCCAGACATGACCAGTTCCTTGCTAGCTCAGCTGAGAGAGCCCAACAGAGGCCTTCCTCAAGTGGTCGAAATCCTTCAGGAAGCTTTGAATCACCGCCCCTACCTTACCATCGTCAGATGACAACAGGTTCTTTGCTTACCTCATCTCACCGTGAAACCTCAGCCTTTGTCCCTGTTGTACCAACACGGTCGATGCACCCAGTGATATATCCAAACGAAATGCATCCTGCATTAATTCCGTCAGAAATAATTGAAAGAGAAAGAATGATGGATAGAGAGAGAACGGAACCGGCTAAAGGCTCCCCGGACAGAGCGTCTGGAAACTTTCCGAAACGAAATTCATTTGATTTAATGGCCATGATGGTAGAAAAGAGGAAAGAAGTGGCTTTGCGTGAGGCTGCAGCAGCAATGCTACTTCCTCACCATAGAACATCGTCTATCGAAGGCATGATGTCTGATGGGTCTTCACAACCACCTATTTACGGTCCTCCAGGACCATTCCTTGGTGCACCTGGACCATCGCCAACAGCTGCAGGCAGTTTTACTTTCCCTGGAGCTGGTTTATTCCCTCCTGGAGCAGGTCCTCATCAGATGCACCCACACCTAGACAGGCGGCTCCTCAGAGCCCCTGGTCGTGCCTCAAGACCGAAGAAACAGTTTATATGTAAATTCTGTAACCGCCAATTCACTAAATCATACAACCTACTGATCCACGAAAGAACTCACACTGACGAGAGACCCTACTCCTGCGACATCTGCGGCAAGGCTTTCAGACGACAGGACCATTTGAGAGACCACAGGTACGTCATAATCCCAATTTATACTTTAATTGCTGCACTGAGTACACTATGATTAGTTTAATTAGAAACGGCAGTATAAAATTACACATTAACTCTCTCATAAAGGCGACCACTATCGTCCTGAAATTATCCTCTAATCGCTTTTTATACACAGGAAGTACTAAAGTAGTCTATTTCTTCAAAGTCATCACGCATAAACTTACTGTAATTATGACTATTTTTTACTATTTTTTACTTTTTTACTGAGTACATTATCAAAGTGCCGCTTTCCTGCACATTTTAATTTTCTACTACACTGAACGTAGTATGTTCTACAGCTAATTTGTATGCACGTAATAAGCAGCCGGTGTAACTCAAGTTGCAGATGTTAAGCCGACTGTAGCCGTATCCGCCCGAATACTCGGAATCGGAATATTTATAAAGTTTCTCGATCGTAGCTAGCTCCGGCTTCTAAGAAATCTTTATATCTTGATTAATAAGTAAAAGGTGATTATACTTTCAAGCTCATGCACACTTATGATGAAAAAACACCGACTGACGACTGTACAGACGAATGCCATTTGTTGAGTAATGTCTAAGTAGTGGTCGTTCGTGATTGTACTTCGAGATAACAAATAATATATCGCTGTCTCGGACAGTACATGACAGATGAACTGATGGATTCTATTAGAGTATGTTTGGCTTGTGATACTAGTAACAATAGGTTATTTGTAAACCTACGATACTAAAAACATCTTAGAAATATTCAGAAAAATAACTTTATTTATGACCTAGTGATTAATATTATTTATGGAATGCATAATTCATATAAAACGTCAAAGTCTTAGGTTGGTCTAAGAATTTTTATCGGTCTATCAAAACACTGTTAGGTACACACACCCGAACTTATGTTACTTACGTTACTTTGTGTTACTTATGTTTGGCTTGTGATACTAGTAACAATAGGTTATTTGTAAACCTACGATACTAAAAATATCTTAGAAATATTCAGAAAAATAACTTTATTTATGACCTAGTGATTAATATTATTTATGGAATGCATAATTCATATAAAACGTCAAAGTCTTAGGTTGGTCTAAGAATTTTTATCGGTCTATCAAAACACTGTTAGGTACACACACACACCCGAACTTGGGTACAAAGAAGCCTGTAATCGGATTTAAATATTTTGTACGTCAATCCTATAATATATAACTCATTAAAACATACGATTCGTGTGAGGGTCGACGCCTTATGAAGCGAATCGAGTAATTTTATAGCGAGTTATAAAAACCGAACGGTGTCGGCTCTGATTGGAAGTTTGCTACCAAACATGAAGCTTCGTTTCTTTGAAGATGACGATAGAAATTATTTTCGATTTTCAGCTTTATCCTGTTGAACTCAGGGCCTTTAATTATGTCTTAGATTTTTGACAACATTACTGAGATTGTAAACAACACGTAGATTTTTGTGAACCATCAGACTATGGAATCCGTTGCTTCACACAAAGAGAAAATTCCGAGTTATGTCAACGCAAACATTAAAGCTTTCTTTTTTATAAACAAAAGAAAAGCGGTCAGTATTAGCAATGAATGTAGTTATGCAATATTGCATTATTTTTAACTATAATTTATACGAATTATTAAAAAATCTTTTTTATAAAAATTTAAGCAAGCTAAAATTACCTATGCCTGATAAAGTCGCAGTTTTTCTGATGGATATTAGACTTCATTTTCATATAAAAATGCATTAGATTTTGCGTTGGTAAACCAACATCAACTTATTGTGAAAGAGACCCGAATTGTGGCTACCAGTTTTTACCCAATAAGTTATGAGTAGTACATTACCCTCATCCGGCAATAGAACCTAAAAAAGTTACCCTATCCTTAGCGATCGTTTCGTCAAAGAAACAGTCAATCATTTTGTGTTTAAAAATAACAATAACTAACAAAATAGTCTTCGCGTCGAAGAAGTATTCATATCAAACACAATCTGATAGTGATGAATTATTTTACAACATAATCTATGTACAAATGATTCTGGATTACCTATCTATGTAATATCGTGTGAATAGATCTGGAAACTAATGTAATTTCTATGTCAGCTTAAGTAAGCCTTGTAAGATCTATCTAACAATTCATAAAATGCTTACGATAGAAACTAAATAAAATACCAATAAGAGAAAAACAGGAAAATCAGAAGTGATTTTTAATTTAAACGGAACGTCAAAACGTAAGACTGGGAATTGGGCATTTGTGCATGTATCATCCAATATAAAAAAGTATTGCTAAATCAATTCCATCAATATTTTTTAATTCCAAAACGTGTCAATTTTATAATCTATTAACTTATTTCCTTATTGAATAAATTAATATTCAAATTGAATATCGATTTCTTTAGTTACGTCTCGTAATGAATTTGACATTCTTATGTCCGAACTAATAGGAACTATATTGCCTTAACCAATCGATAAAGATAACAATCAGTTATGACATTTGAAACCATTGAAATTTATAATTTGTTTTCATTTTGAGCATCTTATAAAAGGCAATAAAAATATACTGGCCGAAAAAAAACTCCTAGGAAACACATGTCATTAAAAATAGTTACAAATTCAAATTCTAGTTCCTTAACGCATTCAAAGTTAGTAATTTTTTTCTAAACACCAAAAAGTTTGGCAAAAACCTGTAATTGTAATCAAACTTACATTACTGACCAACCACAGGGCAATAGTACCGACTCAAGAAAAAAACTCATTCTGTGATTTTCTGATGGATCCGAACCAACTGACTCAATTCAAGCCACATTATATAGCAGGTTTTTTACTTACCGGCCCGTAATTAGTTTAAATTCTGATGATTCATCTTTTTCTATTGGCCCAGGCTATTAAAGAGTACAAGACTTAGTACTAGAGGCAAATAAATCAAACCAAATACGAGAAATACTAGGAAATATTTATTTCCCGTACATTTTTATAGAACAACGTTATAAAGATGTTTTAGATATTTTATGGCGTCTACTGATTATTTTTATTGTCGTTGTCATAAAAATCCTTTGGATATGTTTCGGCAAATTAGTTTTGGCTAATTAGGTAAAAAAATATAGCGATGTTTATAGTAAAAAAAACTGAATAATTTTTTTTTATTGAGTTCAAAATTGTGTTGTTGTCTGTACAGACGCGTGGATTAGTTGAGACTTCGTGAAGCAATTCCGAACTATTATTATTCGGTACAATTCTGTACATCATTTAAATCTATATTGAATGGGTGTTCACAAAAAACGTACGATGTTATTTCTCACTTAAATCGAATGATCGGCGACTGAGACTTCAAAGATATATTCTTATTTCTAATTATTACTTAACGATATTCTTCCTAAGCAAGCTTAAGCCTTAGAGAAAAAAACTCAACGCACACCTTATTTAAAGCTAGAAATCATAATTATATTTTTTCCAAAGCTTCATTTTAAAAGGAAAACCTCCCACTAAAACAATGTTTACACAAATATTACTGGAAATATGAAATCATCGTCTCTTCATAACATGCAGTTATAATTTTTTGTCGTCCATAATTATGTTATGATTGCCTTTATAATCGAAGTGCATATGATGCATAATGCCATCCCATTAAACCCGTAGCCGTAATTAATACCTTTAAAGAAAAAGAACCAAGTCGACGAAACGAACGTAATTTTATTCGTAAGATTCTAAGAAATATTCTAAAATGGCGAATGAATATTAAAACACAACTTTAGATTGAAGAACTTATCGTGTGAAAACTGAAGGAACTTTTTTCCACGCTGGTCTTGTCGCTTCTACTTAAGCCTTCAAGTAACTTCCTCTATTGATATTTATTTACTTCAGAACCCAGATGGTACTTACATCACCCACGCCTTCCGTTAAATGTTTGTTAAAAATGTATCCACATTATGAGAGAACGATTCCAAACTCCTCTGAATAATACCTACTAAGATTACGAGCCGCCATTTAAAAATTATAATAAAAACAAAAATAATAAGCGTATATTTTTCATGAATATTTAACAAGTTTACTGGCCTTACGTAAATATAAAATGGCTTTTAATGATTCCGTCTTATCGAAAATGGATCGGTAGAATCGAAGCATGATCGGAATATTTTTACTTAAATTATTTATGATTCAACGAAGTCCTTTGATCAGAAATATCAAGAATAAAACGTATTTCTAACGATTTTGTGCTTTCTGACACCATATGTAAAGTAAAAATTTACTACTTTTACATATTCGTATAATCTATATAAAGTATTTACAGAAATATTCACACGATCGTGAATAGCAACAAAGAGTGCCTAAGGGTAACATCATAGGACCAAAACTATTTTGAAACAGTAAAAGATCTCAAATATCAGACTGGAAATGGAAACCAATGTTTAGGACGTCAAGAAAAACATGTACACATGGAAATATGAATACCAAACATGTGTAATCCTCTCATGAGAACGGGCATAGATTACATCTCTGTCACGTTATACATTCTCGAAAACTATCGAAGCTACGTGGATATTCCTTAGCCCAAGCACTTAATAACATGACGAACGGTTTACTGAAATATATATATATTTATTTATTCTGTAGTGCACAATCTATAATGTATAGCCAATAAAAATTATGGTATAATTAATTTATCAAAGTAATAACGTTCAGTTTTATGATCAGATCAGATCACTTGGCCCTACGACCTCAAGCTCATCGAAGATAAAAATCGTAACATTATTGAAAACTAACAAAGAACATAAGAGAATAAATAATCAATAAAACTTAAATGAAATTCTCAGCATTTTGATATGAAAATATTATGGTTCGCGTCGAATCAAAATTTAGCCATTAAGTACCGTCAGTTCCCATCAATGATGGACATAACTATATAAATATAGCTATATAAACAACACTATTCACACCACAAACCTGTAGTACCGGCGTGAGATAAAAATACTGAGTTAAGCGCGTCACACACGCAAGATTTTTTTACGAAGAGGCTTTCTTG